TTTGAAGCATCATCTAAGTTACGTGAATATAATGCAAAATTACGAAATAATTTTTTAAAAACAATGTAAGAATTTTGATCGGGAAAGGAAGATTTGGGCTCTAGAAAGAAAAAAAACAAAACGTTCGTTGAAACGGGCTAATACAGTACCCAACGAATCCGTGCCAATGCTATATAACTTGTTAGCGAGGTTAAACGGTTAAAAGTAGCAAATACGCATCTTAAGTCCCAGAATACTCACAAAGATATTTTTCTTACTGAATTTAAAGCCAAAATTTCTATGACATAAAATCTGTCCAGTTTACTACCAAGACATTGGAAGATTCTGTTCAGAAAGACTTGTCGAAAAAAGGCCGAAATATTACAGTCCAGGAAAAAATAATGGCGGCCAGCAAAAATATTTTGCAGTAAACCTTGCAGAATAAACGGTCGCAAAAATTTGGGTTAGACTGTTTAAAAGCACACAGTTACGTTCTAAAAAAGTTAATGCATAATATTATTTGTTTATGTTTCAATGATGTTCAGAATAAAATTTAAAAATTTAAAAATTTAGCAAGTGAACAAGTTATAACTTGATAAAAAACTGTAGGCCATATGTCAGACATCTTTTCTACTAAGAAATTTAATCTTCAGTACTAAGTAAAACTATTTACAATAACCAATTCTACCTTATTTGCAACTTTTTTTAACAATTTAGAGCTATTGAATCAATATTTTTATTATACAATGCCTTTGACCAAAACCAAGACTTGCTTTTATTGTATAAAAGTTAAATGCCAAAAACATGTTGAAACTTTTTTGTGAATTTATCATCTCTTTATTACAAGTAGAATTTGTTATCGTGAACAACATTAACTACTGCCAAAAGTTTAACTTATATGTAAACACTTTGTGGAAATTGCATTTAATAGGCACCGCCATTATTATTTTCCGGGACTGTACATACTGTCGAAAATTTTGTTGATACGTACGTAGCGTGATCGATGCAAATGGAGGTCCGATCAAGTACTAGTCACTTAATACGAAATATAGATCAGACCCTGTTTAAATAATTTTTTTTTAAGCTTAAGTATTAAAAATTTTAAGTCTAAAATTGAGCCAAAAATCGTTCGGAGACTTTTGGCGACCCTCTGTAATATTCCCAATATTCCCTCTCCATGTCCAAATTAGGACGTTGGTCCTAATTAGGGAGTTATGTTTGATGAACTTCGTCCATATAAAGAAATGCAAAATTTGCATGTGAACACAATTACTGCAAAGTTTTTCGTTGGTCAGAATATAGTTGTGTCACAATAACAGACACCGACCTGCGAAATTTTGGTGCCCCAACGCGATAGTAGTTCTTCAGCACTTTTGGAGGTGAGCACTTAGCTCTCTAAGTCCCAAGCTTGGGACCGGGCTATAAAGAGGGCGTGCACTTATGGAGGGTGCACTTACGGAGGTGCCACTGTAATAATAACAAGAATAATAACAATAGCCGATACTTCGTGACGCAAATATATTAGAGCAGTAATAAATCTAGTGGTACCGAAACGATACACCGTTGTACTTTAATAGTTTTCTTCACGACAATAATGTCGAGTTTTCAAGACAATCAAACTCAGAATGTCTGATGTCACTAGATCTCTCTTAGCATATAATGTTAAATGGATACCTTCTTCGGACATTACTGACACTGGGTCAAGTCTAGTTGGCAACGATCAGACCATTTATTACGCTGTGCACGTAGCACATGGTGACATAATGCTACTATTACTCAGAAACAGTGACATTCGTACGCCGGCATTTATGAACGAGTTTGCTAGAATTTACTCGCTCCCAACGAATAAATATAACGCTCAATCTAATGACTTCAGAAGATACCCGATATGGCTTGAAAGGAGGAACAAACTTATATATGGGGTTACCGAACGCGAAGACAACTACTATTTGGTTGCTCATAGGCTCTTTTACCAATGTTATGCTCGATATGGATTTTGCCATGAATGTGGAATCCTCAGATGCAGTCCCGTGTGGTGTGTGTGTGGGCATAAACAATTGTCCAACAGGTGGACTAGCGGCAACAAGAAACTCGATGAGTTCATTAAGAAATCACAAATGCAAACAGGCTCGGCAAATGAAGCCTATTTGGAATGGATTCCATTCGATTGTATGACTGGATATTATGTAAACAGATACTTAAGTGGTCTACCTATTAATTGTTTTATAAATTTGATTCCACTTGAAATAAAAGATGAAACAGATAGTTCATATTATGACAAGGTAACTGTTGAACTTGGGTTTATGAATATATCTTTATTGCCCTTTAGTCAATTGTTGACCTGATTTAATTTTACTAGTTATGTGTTGACCATCCAGATATTCTTATCACTAATGTTTGGAATACTATTGGATTTACGTACAGAACAGATAAGCGAAAATATTATCTAATAAAACGATATGGACTATGTTTGGCGTGCACACAAAGATTTGAACCTAAGAGACATGCATTCTGTTTCGAATGTAAAGCACCACAACCTCTCGATTGGACTACGGGCAACAAGTCTTTAGATTCATTTATAATGGAGTCATGGAGTAATGCAAAGAATGAACGCGATGCCTATATACAATGGATAGAGTATTCACAATTGACAAACATACAGGCGGTGACATCATTACCCCGTGCTTGCACTCATGTCGCAGATTGGCCAGAACCGACGACGAATAAATTGACAAGAGTTACATTGAAAAAGACAGTCGACGGGAATACTAGTTCATTTGACTTTTATCAGGTAAATCATAATAATGCTGTTACTGTGGTACGTGTTCTATCAATAAATGTTGAAATTGACTATATTCCTATGCAAAATAGCTAATTACGGAATACCCGGAGATCTTAACACCAGAAAATATTTGGATTATTGGTGTAGCTCAAGAGCCATATACTCGTGAATATTATTTGGTATTCCACCATGCGGTTCATCCAGTCGTTAACAGAGTTGTGCGAACCAATAAACATGTAAAGCGTATGCAATATACCGATTTTTATGACATCGAAGAAATTGGATCTGGTGGTTATGGAACAGTCTATAAAGCCAGACATAAAATCGACGAATACCCAATCAGAGAAGAAGAACGTGTTGTTCTCAAATGTTATAAGAAGATGCCAGAATCATTTGCTTCTGAGGTAAGAAATTCCTGATGACCATTGACTTTACTATCTAGAATAATGCTTAACCAATTTATATAACTTATTTGTTTATAGTTCAGCAACCATGTCAAATGTTCTGACGGTGATTTTGATAGGTTCCTTAAAATATATGGTATTACACAACAACCAGAGACGAAAGAGTACATAATTGTTATGCAATACGCCAATGATGGTAACCTTTTGTCTTATTTGCATCGAAGTATTAACAACTTGACATGGAATACGAAATTACAACTTTTGGAGGGCATTGCAAATAATCTGTATGTTATTCATTCCAAGAATCTGGTACACTGTGATCTCCATGGAGGGAACATAGTCCTAAACGACGACATATCCAAAACAAAAGGAGATGTCGATCCAAGCGTCCCGTTCATATGTGACTTTGGACTCTCTCAATCAGCGGTTTCAGCCGAGTCAAATTCAATCGTTCGAGGTGTTTTACCATTTATTGCACCTGAAGTGTTTCGTACTTGCAAATTTAGTCGGAAATCAGACATATATGCATTGGGCATTATTATGTATTTGATTGCCAGCGGCGAACCACCCTTTAGGGATAGGGAATTCGATAGAAACTTGGTATGCGACATTATGGGTGGATTACGACCACCGATGCCTGGCTCAGCACCTGAAGCGTATAAGAAACTTGCTGAGATCTGCTGTGATGACGATCCTGACAAACGTCCAGCCATATGGGAAGTCAATTCACGTATCAGCAACCTTATTAAAGACGACACAATCAAGGATAAATCTGATAACAATATATGGAATGCCATATATCGTAATGATGTGAAACCACTATCGCGCCTTGAGAAAGAGGGTAAATACTCTAGCATTATCTTACCAGCTGGAGATTCAGCTGCAGGTATGAAGATAGTGAACTGTACATTGAATTTAAGATTCGGAAAGTTAACATTATTAACTCCTTATTATTTCATCTTCAGTGACGAAAAATCTGTGTGTTTAATATTTAGGTTGGTTCCGTGACATATTTAAACTGCATTCGTGATATTTTACGTGAATGTCAATTCCTTGATTTGCTATTGACATAAATAGTGAAGTACGACCCCCTCCGCCAACGAAGATATATCAGAATTCTTGGGAGGATCATAGTTAGTAGTCGGGATAGATGTATATAGTCATTGCGTCAAGATATTGTTTCTTGATTTACGCCATAAGATTGTCATTATATATATACTGCATATTAGTGATTGTGTAAACACATTTCATTGTACATATACTTATTAAATTTTGGACTGGAGCACAAGAAGAATGACGGTGAAAACTAGTTTTTATGTCTCAACGCGCTATAGATAAATCCCTTAATCTTAGCAATCACATTCTTGGTTTGCTAATCGTAATTTCGAAGTTACTTATAAACTATAGAAATTCCTCTTCCAATATACTGTAGGCTGTTAGTTGTCAATTTTATCAGTGTACTTGCTGTGTTATTAATTTACGTGCTTCGAATAAAGGTAGAAGATATACAAATAACTTGATCGTCACTCTTTGCATCTTGGCTAGTCTCACGGTAATAAGTAACAGACGAGAATTAAAAGCGTGTTTAACTATCGCGAGGAACTTTAAAAGCGTGTTTAACACATTCTACGATCAAGTACCGAAGTCCTCATTGATGTCTGATAATCTTGCCTTAAATGTTAATCATAAAGATCGACATTGACATTAACCTTTAATTTGTTCTCTTCTATTTTTGGATGTCGTACTACATTAATCGACTCGACCAATGTCCAGCCACTAACTGCCTATAGACATGTTCCAATTCATCCCACTCTCGCCGCACATTGACGCGAATTATGAGTCTAAGAATATTACCAAGACGAAAGTGTGGTGCCTTAGCCACTGCCTTGTGCTCGCCTATAGAGGAATCTGCAATGAAAAGTAAGTCTCAAACTTGTTATAGATCTACAATTGCTTATGTCTTATCCCATTCTGTACTATCATATCATCTTATATATATCATGTGTCATGTACAAAGCTTCCCCACTTTATGCTAGGCTGCATTCATTGACTGGGTATGAAGTAATATTAATACTCAATATTAGCATAAGAACGACACAATTGAAAAGGGTTTAATCGATTCAATGCATTCTGACACATAGTTTTCTTTTATATATTCGTAATGTAGCTTTGCCCACGCAACCGACTGTATTCTAACTAGCCTTTTGTTCATTTGATCAGACGATACTCGTCGTCGAACGGTCAATGGAAAGTCAATAATTGCAATTACGGACGACGATCAAATATTGAGCACATGCATCACAATAGACGAAGAGGGTTTGGCTGTGGAGGATGAATACCCGTTGCAGTTGACAATAGAATCAGAAGAGATACAAGTTCCCAGTTTCAAACTGTTTGAAGAAGATGTTGGCAGTGGACTTCGTAGCAAAGCTCAAGAGGCAAGCTTAATATACGTTTACAATCGTTGCATTATTGCCGAGAGAGTCTTCGTTCATGTCTTCTATATTACTACATTGTTATACTTTAGGAAGATTTATCAGATGCAGCGTACGAAAAGCGCCACAGGAAGCATGAACTTGCCGAAAAGAAGCTCAAAAATAGAGAACGAGAGCGTCTAAAATACGAACGGTACCATCAGAAATTGGCAGTAGAACAGCTCCGTAATCTAGACAGCAATCGTTTGATCTCTGGTGCGGCATTAAGAAATAATTCATTGAGTGCTGATGATAAAGAATATTTGCGAAGAAAGATGTTGAAGGATGCCGAGTCTCTATTAAAAAAGTACGATGCGTTTGGATTTGGGGAGAAGAAGAAAAAGGGTTATGAGCCAGTTAACAATAACGCGGCCGAAGAGGCAATGGCGAAACATCGTAGTGAAGAGGTGGAAGAATCAAAAACAACGAGACAGCGAAAGTCGAGAAAACGTGAAGCTGATAAATCTGAAGATATAACATTAAAATCAGAATTACATGAACATTCTAATACACGTACCGATCGTAATACTACGTCGAGATCAAAAGAAAAAACATCTCGTACGTCAAAATCGAAGAGACGAACTTCATCCAAGGAGGCCGCTGTTTCGTCACCCCATTCACCTGCAGTACCAGCATCAGAACTAACGACCTTCCTAAAACCAGACACGGCAATGCCTACTGGATCAAGAAAAAGTCAGAGATCATCATTGGCGTTCGGGATGAAGGTGCCTCATGTGTTGGGACTGCGAAAGGAATTCTCGTTGCCGGATGACGAGTATTCGGATATGATGAAACGAAGGCTCGCTCGATATGAAGTTTCGCATTCAAGAAACAAGAGTAAGAGCCATAATCATCTTGTTATCATGCAAATTTCTAAAAAATCTTTCTTACCACCCTAATGGCGAAAAAAAAAGTATTTCGTATTAAACAATTAACTAATAAACAAAATGTATGACCTAATTATATGGGATCTTTAAAGATTAACGACGGTTTGCTTCAATAACGCTTTTTATCATATCACGTTAGCTTTTGCTTTTCTGCACATTTTAGTAGCGCTAGCCATACTCATTAAAAGAAGAGACCGAAATATTTCACTGGATATGCTATTTGTTAACTAGTGAGAGCTTACCTTTCGGCGCCAGTGGTGGAAGGGAAAGTATATTCAAGTCGCTGTGGAAAATGTCGGGCAAACTGGCCTAAAGGTAAACTCCAAGACACTTTGTTTCATCCAGAATAAAAGTATATTTCTATTGCAAACGCCTTTATATTTGGCTGTAGTAATCATATCGGGGGATAATTTCACGAATGTCTAATGATACTTAGTTCGAACGAGTTGTCAACCAGTGATCGTATATGTTGACGCATCATCGTCAAGAATAGTCTGATTCCATTAATGAAAGTGAGCGAGCGATGATCTAGCAATCAAAACTTTATATAGTTTCTCAATTTGTCGCCTCACTGCCTCAAGACCGGTAATTATCAAATAGATTCGTTATATCGCCCGTAAAATAATTGGTATAGAGAAGCTCACGAGTTTTAGCAATCCCTCGCGAACATTTTATTTTATTAACAAGATCAATCCACATACTTTCTTGACACTACAAAAGATCTGCTTGTAGAACCGCCTTGTGACTACACTTTTTTCGATTAGCTGTTAATTTTCCATTCAGACGCCTTTATTAGTATTAGCATTTGAAGATGTCATAAAGTCGTCATCTTCCTCTATTTATTGTTCGCGTCTTACAAATCCTGTCCACACGTGACATGTGGAAAATATGACGTTATCAAATTGCGACCGGCAAGGCAGCAGACAGAGTGGGACGTTTTAAGAGTTGGTTAGAAATAGAATTATCGCAAGACAGGGCATTATCACAAAAGTATGCAAAGAAAGAGCATCACATCCAATCTTCTACTGACGCTGCGGCAAAGGTGTTTACGAGCGCACTTCTCATGGGACAGAAAACCAAAAAGATACTTTGCTTATGGTTAAATAAAGCATTTAGTGTTGTTTCTTTCTTCCATCCGTTGGTATGCTTTTTCACAGGAGAATTCAAACATGATTTTAAACTTAATAAATAACATGACCTGCATGTGGAACAAACATGTGTTCCGTGTTGAAGGCTCCTTTTTCATAAGGAGAGAATATCTTAGGTTTATTTACGATTCTTTGGGCCGCTTTATTTTGGGTTACTGCAATAATGTATTTGCTAGTTTTTAAATTATATTATTGTATCCTGCTTACCTGCCAGACACGGATATCATTGTCTAGAGAGAAAAAAGAGGTATAATATAGATATTTAGGGAAAGGAATTGCAGACTTAACGACATCGATACTAGCACCGGTAAATGGCTATGTTCTGGTATCCCATCCCCACCTCCACCTCCACCTCCATCCCCCCCCCCCACAGTAAACGTACCAGTATATCCAGCGAACAGGGTAGTTCCATCTGGACTCCATGCTAAACTAATACACTCTGGATCACTATTCAACCGTCCAGTTCCCAAAAATTCAGGCTTCAATTCATCGACAACAGTCTTAGTCTCTAGATCCCAGATCTTGATGAAACTAGCAGTAGCAGCACATAGCCAGTAGCGGTTGGGAGAGAAAACGAGGGCATTAATGATATCCCCTGCTTCGAGAGAATATAAATGTTTGCTCTCATTGAGGTCCCAAAGCATTGTGATGCCGTCTTTACCACCAGATGCACAAAGAGATCCATCTGGAGAGATTGTTACTGTATTAATGTAACCTGTGTGGCCTGTGTGATTAGTGCGGAGCCTGCATTTGCTTAGTTCCCAGACCTAGGATGGATAGAAAAGCAAAGAGATATTACTAGTCTGTTTTAGACGACTCGTTGACCAACGATAATATCTTTGTCTCGATCAGTTTGTGGTATTTAATTTCATTGAGGCGTATAACCCTCTTAAGTAGCAAATATTTGAAAAAATATATACATCACACGAAACCCCATCAAACACGTCTCGATTGGTATAATTCATTACCTTAACATACTTATCCCAGCCACAACTAACAATGACAGGATTCGACGGATTAGGACTAAACCGCACACACGAAACCCATTCACGATGGCCATCTTCTTGGATATTAAATTTACATTCACCCAATGTATTCCATAATTTAATTGTCTTATCTCTACTCCCACTAACAATCTGTCTATTATCCGGCGAGAATGAAACCGAAAGGACATCCTTCTCATGACCAACGAAACGACGAGTAGTGGTACCGCTATTGAGATCCCAGAGCCGAAGAGTCTTGTCCCAGGAAGCAGAAAGGGCAAACTGACCGTCGGATGAAATCACAACATCCTGGACGAAATGGTTGTGGCCGGTGAGTGCTTTACGTGGGACACCGTAGTTGGTTTCATCACGGGTTAACTGCCAGACAATAATTGTTTTATCTGGTCAAGAATGGGAATTGGAGAGATAGAGAGAATTGGAAGTCGAGCGAAGCCAATTCCGTAAAGCAAAAAATTTAGCGAGTGGATCAACACAATTGGGAGGTGAGTCGATCGGATCATAATATTGGAGATATGAAGCCGAATGGTTGAAAAAAACCACTCGCAGATAAAGACGCATCTTATCTTAATATAACGTAATAACAAAGGCGCAATTTGTTTTACCATAATCTCATATGACATATCACCAATAGAAATATATTAGCATCTACGTTCCAACCAAAAAGCACACATACCGCGAGAAGCAGACAAGATCATATCGGGATTCTCTGATGTGGTCGCTGCAAATCAAAAACATGTTAATTACAAAAAAATTCACGTATTTAGACAATGAAATACTTCTCCTTGCATCCTCACTCTCCATTCTCATTTCCTTTCCTCTTGTCTCTTCTCCCCCGTTTAATTATACAATTTCCATTTTTTTTTCCCACCCACATACCAATAGCAGTCACCCATCCAGAATGACCTTTCAAGGTCCCACGAAGCGCAAGAGTGTCGGTCATTGTTTTATTCCTTGACTATTTTTTAAGCGTGCTGCCTGGCTTGGCCTAGTCGACTATTAATGTGTCGCTGTTGCCGAAAGAGAGGAAGAATTATGGAAAAAGAATTGAAAATTTTTTATGCTTGTGTGACATATCATTAGATCTCGGATAGAATAACGGGATGTATGCACAAGTTGATCTATTGTTATTCATTGTTGGAGTTATCCGGAGAATATTTTGGGCATATCTGTCAGTACGTGTGTATGGGCAGGTCATTACTGCAGATACACAACTACTTATATATGACCAGCATCGCTACAGAACTTGGTACAATTCAGATCTTGACCTGCACACATTATCTTCTTACTCTCTTTAGTTACTTTCGCGTTCTGCTCACCAGTCTTGTCATATATGGCTGATCACAGTGAGTTTATGAGCTGCGATGCACTTTTTCATAGACGCAGTTCGTACCTTGTCTTCATTAGACACTTGCTTACCAATTTGTATTTTCACTTTCCTGTTAGTTTCGCTGATCTACTCCGCCCTCGAGGACGTACCTTTGATACTAGCACCGCAATTTACTTATATACAACCGGTAAGAGTGAAAACCCGTTGTGTTTGAGGTAAAGCGAATTGGAAGACTAAAAAACAGTTACTTCGTTACAGGTGACGCTCCCTCCGGATTTTACCCCTGATCAGAGGCAAGTGGTGAGTACGTTGCTGGTCTGCTGTTATAAGTTCGAACTATACCGAACTTGTTTAGTCTTTACAAAATTAGAACTATTGTGAATGCAAGTGTTTACCAAAGATTACTACTTGTCTCTTGCCATCATCCATATACTACTCATTCAGCACCCATTGTACTAGACTCTGTGTTCTTTATACTTTACATTATTATGTTTACCTTGTTTAGTGCGTCCATTGGCTACTACGAATGTTGACTAATAGCTTTTTCTTTTCTCTAAAGGACAAATATGACTTTGAATTAGAACGTCAAGTAACAAAAGAAGCAGACCAAAGACGTCATGAGAGTGAAACCCGAGCACAGTTGAGAGAAGAACAATTGCGTACATTACGAGAAGAGAAGCTCAGAAAACAAAAGGAAGCTGCCCGCAAAATAGCGCCCGGGTTTTTAGATACAGATCGGAGGATTCTGACACCAGTTAATACGCAGAGGAGATCCAGTCAACAAGGAGATGCTATTTTAACTGGTGTAAGCGAGAATGGGTTGGTTGGGAAGAATACGCACGAACGAGCATCGAGCAATGATGAGGTAAGTACGGTGGGAGGTTATGAGAAAGTCATGAGAGATTTGGAGACGTTCGAGTCAATTACTTTGATTTTTAATCATGTTTTTCTTTCTTAATAATTCAGACAAATAAGAACGCTCCATTTGATCTCGATTTTTCAACATGGTCTTCTCCAACCACAAATTCCGCACAGAGTACAAATTCTGAAGACCTATCCATCTCGTTAGTCCCTTCATCGGTTCTAAAACAACACCAAAGACCTCCAACATCAATACCAGCAAACGGTATTCACGTCCAACCTAATCCATCCACTCAGCCCAACAAGGCAACCGCTCGATATCCCCCTGAGCTTCCCAAACAATCAGTTGCTCCAGTATCTATTCCACCACATGCTACATATAATATGTCCTCACATCCGCCTATACGCATGAATGCGGGTAGACCATATAATGTACCGTCGTATGCTCCTCCTCCGATAGTTCCACCAAAGCCTAATGTGCAGGCAGAGAGTGATAAAGAGGACAATAGCGATGCATTTCAGCAGTTGACTAAAATGGGATTCTCTAGCGATCAGGCTATTGAGGCATTGAAAAAATATGAGGACGATTTAGTGGGGGCGACGAACTATTTGCTCGATTTACAGTAAGATTTTGGAGAAAGAGTTTGCATGCGGGCCGGGAAGGAAGAGAAACAGGAGCTTGAGCGTAAAACATAATAAGTGTAGTGCGAACATTCAATCATCAGCAGCATATAGTGACAAGAGTTGTTCGTCTTTGGAGATGTGAAGAAGAATGTCGATATTAATTAGAACAAGTGCCCAAAGTTGGACTTTCATTGATTTGTATAAGTTATTTGTTATAACTGATCGCTGTATATATGGAATAACTGTTGGTTTATTAGGTATTATAAATGATAAACGCAACATACATAAATTACATCCGAAATAAGTATAATTTATTATATAAATACAGTTGAACAGACTGGGATGAGCATTAGTAGACTCATTATCAAACAATTGTTTATTCAGAGACAGTCTTGAATACATGAAATCCAGATGCAGCTGTCGATATTAGCATTCCTGAGAATTGGGGATGCCAATGTAGTTCTTTGATGTCAGTTTGGCCCTGAATCAAACAGTAAACATTTTAGTAATTCATATGACAATATTTACAACTTTATCATTTAATGTACTCACTTGATGTATAAATAGAAGCTGACTAGGTATTCTGCTTCCACTCTCATCTCGGATAATTCTACTCTCTTCATTGTCCTCTTCAACAGATAAATCCCATATTGAAATCTGATCATCTGCTCCTGATACAGCTATTACAGACTCTTCAGTAGGATGCCATTCCACTGAGGTCACTGGAGCACTATGCCATTTGAATGAAGCTACTGGGGTGGGAGCAGCTGTGGTAGATCTATACAAATGTAACAAATAGAAATGTAACCATACAATGGTAAAAGTCAACACGGGAAGAAAGGTACAATTTTGGTTATTGAGATACTTGCTGGAAATGTCTAAGATCCCAAATGCTAAGTACTCCATCATCAGATCCAGATGCTAACAAGTATTCAACTTTTCTGTAAACAAGCACAAAAATACATAATCAGCTAATTGAACAGACAAAAGAACAAACAATTCCCTTCACTGACTTACTTGTTCCATGAAATAACGTTGACGTCAGTCTCATGTGCCTTAACACTTAACGATGGTTTTCTTTGACCTCGCAAATCCCATATTTTAACAGTCTTGTCAGCACTCGCACTACAAAACACGTTCTTCTCATTCGGAGACCATTGTATATCCTCGACACTAGATTCATGACCAATACACGGTATTTGATCGGTCGTAAATCCAGACTCTGTCTTTGTGGTCAAGTATATGTGTGTATGGTTGTCTCCTGAGAGAAGTTTCCCAGGCGATAACGGAGACCAATCGAGAGCATATCCTTCAGTGGAATGACAGTCAACCGTGTGTGTGGGGGTTTGGGCTGCTTTGGGGGTTGTGTAACCTGGCGTGTCGAGAGACTTTATGTGCAGAGTCAAATCCCAGATATGAACTTTGCCGGTTTCCAACCATGCAGCGCAGAACTGGAGATTGCGTTGTGGAGTAACCTGTAGACAGAAGACCGAACAAGAGCAATGAAAGAGCAGATAGGTTAGTTGGTTATTCATAGAAAACATACGGTTTTGGTATGGTATATATACTCACTCTGACACGATTTACACCACCACGAAGCTTGATACTCCGATGCTCTAATACGGGGTCTTCATCCAGTATATCGTCGTCGTCGTTGTCATCGTTGTCGTCATCATCGTCAGAATCTGAGAAACTTCATTGTTAATAGATCACGTGACCGATAACACGCGTCCCATCTCCAACCAAGACCCACCATCTTTTTTATGCGTCTTATGTAACTGTGTCAATTTCATAACCATTAACTCATTATTCTTTGGCTTATCTGCTTGAGTACCAGCGACCATATACGCTGTCGCCGGATACTATATAACATACATGAATGGTTGCTTAATTCATTAACCATCTCATCGCACTCAATCTTCATTAACGACATTTCGTCTTGTCACACATACGCTCATCCTGTTGTCGCCTAGCTGATCGGATATTATGTCGAAGCTAAGGCAAGGCCACTTGACATTGAGTCTATGTAACATGTCATACGCTGATTCGTCTGGTTCAAGAACCTCGCCTTCACCCAACCCATAACCAGGGAGATATACACGGGGCCTGTTTGCAGGTTTACTGTCAGTGAGAGACATTTCTGAAGAAATATAATCAAAGAACAGTGTAAGTTACTAGTTCATGTAAATTAACATTCTTCTGCATAAAACTTGCAATCTCTTATCAATATGAAAAATTGTGTATCTTTTCCTCATCAGCATCAGGCAGTTCTTACCATTCTCCATAACTTCATCTTCACCATCTTCTATGATTTCTTCATCTTCACCATCTTCTATGATTTCTTCATCTCCGCTGTCTTCTTCCTCACTTTCTAGTTCATCTTCCCATGGATCTTCAAATTCACCCATATCCTCATCCATTGGTTCTGGATCCAGTCTGTTTGCTGCTCCAAATGGGGCTTTGGTTGTAGTTGTTCGATCAACATCAAGATCTTTTTGACGTCGTTTCGACATGTTAAACGAGTATGGATTATCAATTGATAAATTATAGCAATTGCCAGCAAAATCTGTTAAACGCAGTAGTCTATTATTGTTCTATCTGATATAATAAAGATCTATTGATTGGCAAAGAAAAAAGATTTTCAATCCCAAGAAAAAAATTTCATAATCGAGATCTGATTGGCAGATCAAAAAATTCAGTTGTAATACTTTCTCCACGTTCATTGTAACTCTTTCTTAATAGTTATTCTACACAATGCCAATCGACGCTGCGACTTCAGCACTTAATCTTTCTATCGCACCTGCAACAGGAGGGACCGGCTTTGTTACTCCGCAAAGTCGTTCGTTCACCGTATCAGTCAATCCTGTAGTATTGTTTTCTATTCTGGATCATTACTTACGGAGACAAGAAAATCAGGATAGAGTCATTGGCACACTGTTGGGTGTCAGGAGCGAGAATGGTAACGAAGTAGAAGTAAGAAATTGTTTCCCTGTTCCGCATAACGAGACGCCCGAGCAGGTAAATATCGTAAAGGTGATGGTTTTCAAATAGGTTCTTGGGTTAGTAAAATCAAATCAACGCTATGTTTATTTAGGTCGAAGTAGATATGGAATGCCATAGAAATATGTTTGAACTTCATCGAAAAGTGAATCCGAAAGAGTTAATAGTTGGATGGTATGCAACCGGATCGAAACTAAATCAATGGAATGCACTCATTCAAGACTTTTATTCGAGGGAAGTGGCTCCATTCCAAGCAATACATCTCACAATGGATACTAATTTGCAGAACGAGGACAAACTGCTTGGAGTAAAAACATACGTCAGGTATCGTGTTAAACATGCCGTCAAAATTCTTGTATGAAACGCACTCACATGCGCGAAATTACTTTGCTGTGCAGTTCCCCAATCGGCATACCGGCCAAACCAGAGAACTGCATGTTTTTGCCCATTCCATGTGATGTAAAATACTTTGATGCTGAGAGAAGTGGACGTGAGTGATGGGATAACAACATTGTTACTATGTTTTTTATGAGCGTTCACAAAAGCCCTAATACAACTTTACTATCACCCTTTTTTTACAGTTAATCTGCTTGCCTCTACAATGAATAATCCAGACAGGGCAACGTCACTAATTTCTGACATGGATAATCTGGAAAATGCAATAGTTTCAGTGCAGGAAATGTTAGAAAGAGTTAATGGTTATGTACATAAAGTAATAAACGGTGAAATGGATCCGAATGGTACAATCGGACGATTCTTAATGGATACCATTTCAGTTGTACCAAAGATTGATAAGACGGAATTTGAAAAGATGTTTAATGGCCATCTACAAGTAAGTAAATCTTTTGTATGGCTGACCTTAATCATTGCGATTCATTTACTGAATATTTTCGTTTTCTTATTTAAAGGACATGCTAATGGTCGTATACTTGGCTAACATTACTCGAACACAACTTGGAATAGCAGAGAGACTCCAACTGCTTGTATAAAAATTATGTTACTCAAAACTGATATTTGTTTTCATTTCGACATGAAATTAAATTATCATATTACTCATCATGCACAAAAGGTCTTGAAACAAGCTGACGTATAACGGAGAAACGGTTGATTAAATGAATAATCTTGTAAGATACAGTAATGAGATTGGATAAACGGTAGCGCCATCTTTTAACGGCGAGCTATTGGTATTAACTTATTATTAATGAGTCTCAATACACACACCTTTCTTACCCACCAAATATAATCCTTTTATCCTTTATCCTTTATAGTCTCTGTGATGAACCGATAACAGGTAATGATTTAATTTCCATTACCTGTTATCAGGTTTATCGATGTATGTACCGGGTTGACTTGTCATGAGCGCCACGATAGTCAATTCCACATTCCACATTCCACATTCCACATTCCACGGCTAGATAATAATTTATGTTTTAAATCTCTAACTTGGAAATAGATTTATCAGAGACTAATTTCAACCGTTGATTTTCCAATTCCCTTTATCTTTCCTTGGCTCTGGTTTTTATTTCCATTCCAGAAATAGGACGACGAAGGCGAGGACTTGCACCACAATTAACACAATATATGTCCAAAACGTTAGCCTATATTCGTTGGCCATTTCTTCTTCCATCTCGAGATTTCCGGACACTAGCTCGTTAATAGCTAGATAGCTGTTCTCCATGTCATGATGTTTCATTTTACGGTTAAAAATGTCGTTTCCACCGCCGCGTTTGTGCGTCAAACAAATCGTTTGATATTTGACGATTAATTGTTCGTGACTATCTATTCCCACACAATTATTTGCCCGTTATTAACTTTGTGCGTTACAGAACGCAAAATCTGATACTTACAGCATACAAGTATGCCGAACTAGAAGAAATCTGTTGACGTTGCTTCTATGTTATATCGTTGGTGACTATTACTATATTAGGTTAGAGCGAACGCCTATTGGCCAATTTCTCAGGGCTTGCCACGAACAAAACCCAGATAAAGAAATATGACACCCTGGGGTTTATCATTGGTTGATGCATTCTTGGGTTTAGTTAGTATTAGCTTTTCACCTTGTGTTTTGTAACTGCTGAAAGTTAGAATCACTCTTGATATCCTGTCTTTCCCTATATTGTCTTTGCTATTAGTTTGAAAAGATTTGTTAAATTTTTGTTGTTATATTATCGTTCCTATTTATCTGATCCCCTTCACGACTAATTACGTGGATCTGTTGGTTGATTTCATTTCTTTAACCCAATTTGCTGGTTTAATATTAGCATATTTCATTTCCTTAGGCTTTCATTTCACTGTTTAATTATTCATCTCTATGATTACATGCTGCAAGCTTTCAACCGTTGCATACTTATAACTGTTGATTATCTATTCTTCGCCAAGTTACGTACCTCTTGTCTAGTAGCCACGCCCTTTCTCCTCTGCTGTCTGTGTTAAGATTAATTGAAATTTTATATCTTTTCGCTCTTCATTTTATTGGCTAGCTTATAACTTTTTATTTAATACGGTTTTTATCACCACTTCTTGGAATCCTTTTTACCCAGCTCCCGATAGGAATGAAGTAAATTTTCTAAAAAATTCAGGACCAACGACAAACTTATTACAATAGTAATTGACCAGAATTGATATCGATTATATGTTGAGAAATGTTATTTCTAGTCGCCAATAAAAGGACAATAATAATCCGTCGTAATTCCGACATATGTCAATATACAACGGTCGCTAAGACCTAGTTTCGAGGAATAATTAAACACGCGACTCTTCGACATGTGAAAATAAATCGGAGTTAGACCCTGAAATCTTCCGTGGCCCCCCACATTTTAAGTGGATATTCAATAACGATGATACAAACTTTAATTCCTACGAAATGTCTGACCTTCTGCCTTATCTTGTATGGGAAAAGGTAAAACAGCCAGAACACCCATACACTTATACTGAAACGACTACATGCTGACATTAATACACTTCATTGATCAAAGCAAGAAGGTTACTTATGTGCGCAGCATTGTCTCAACGCACTTCTTCAAGGTACTATACCCATTCATATTTATCATCACGGAAACTTGATACCCCATCAATCTCTCACTCGAGACAAACACTTTTCGTCTCAGGCGAATATTTCACAGCTGTTGATCTGAGCGATATTGCTCGAGAACTTGATGAAGCAGAATCGGCTGCTTTGGATAATACAGACGAGGACAATGAAGGAAGTGAAGCAAAAAAGAGTCAGAATATGGACGATACCGGATTCTTTTCAGTTCAGGTATGCATATCGTTTCAATTACATAATAATCATTGTCAATATAAGTGTTAAACTCTTCGACAACCCAGGTACTCGTCAATGCACTGAAACTATGGAACGTTGGTAAGGGTATCCGGCATCAATGTACTTGACTTGCTTTGTGCTAATTCTTGCGTTCAACCTTTTTTAGATATAATTCCATATGGTTCAGAAGACTGCGTCGATGCACGTATTCATCCAGAGTAAGAGTCTGTCACAAAATATCTAAATCGAGCATACGGATATCCTAATATTAATCATTTCTTCATTACACTTAATTTCAAAGGAATGAAATGGCGTACATATGTAATCTACACGAACACTGGTAGAGAGCAGCAACCCATTGCAAACTGGAATCCCGCTTCTATCTTTTTAAACCGTCTTTTCATGTTCATAACAGGTTCACTTTGAGGAAGTTTGGTAATAGTCCTCTGCGATGGTATAATTTAGACTCTGTACTAAAAGGCCCGGAATGGATTAGTCAAACTTATTTAGGAATGCTATTGACCCAACTAAAGAATGATGGTAAGTATAGATGCGGGAAGAATGAAAATGTAAGTATTAAGATGCTAACCGATTAATCAATCATAAACAGGATACAGCATATTTGTTGTGAAGGGAATATTTCCTTCATGTCAAGCTGATGACTATGCAATCTCCCATCCGGAAGCTAACGAACACAAAGAAAATAAAAAGAGCGCGGACACTGATGAGGAAATGCTGCAAGCTGCTATTGCAGCAAGTCTTTTGTCACTAAGTGAGACAAATGATGGACAACAAGAGTCATCCAGTTCAAGTTCAAGTCGAGTTGACAGCAACAGCCAACCAACAGCAACCACACCGCCTTCAACACTTGAAGAACTTAGAAAAAAACGACTTGCAAGATTTGATTCTAATGATGTTAATATTGAGTAAACGTTTGAAGGCTAATATTGTCATATTACTAACATTTAAAAGGTATTGAAATAATTGTAATTTTGTTGTTATTAGTTTTTAAATTGGTTATTTTATTGAATGTTTTATTATTTTATTATCCATTCCGTTGGCAGGATGATGCGTGTGATTTTTTATTAACGGGTGATGTCATAGTAGTTAAAACGCTCTGCAACCAATCTTTCTCGTTTCGTCTTTGTCAATGCAACCCATTCGCAAACATGAATACATCTTCAAGAAGGATGCAGAGAAGAAAGACGTGCAAAATATTAGGACTTATAGATGACGACAGAAGTCAAGCTGTAGACATTTACTGAGAGAGATAGGGATTAAAATGTATTGAAACAAATCTATAGAAATTGATGAGAAAGAAGAGTAATAAAGTCATTGATATAGCAACTGATACAGCGACTGATATAACTGATGCAACAATTGGCCAACGCCAAGGAGAATCGACAGCGCGGTTTCTGTGTTTAAATTCTCAACACCCGTATTCGGTCTCAACGACTGCTCATAAAAAACTACCTGCATTGCTACTCCACGATCCAGCTGATATCTTATACCAGATACATTATTTTTCAACGTCCTTTCTCAAAAACTCTTTGTTGAAATGCTTGGAAAAATCTCCACCATCATGATATAAATATGGATGATGCCTATTTAGTCAATTGGTAAAACACAGCGTAGTCTATGCAAGGAAAAGAGAAGATAAACGAGATGGTTGCGTCTAATGCTAATTCGCGGGTGAGTATGATGACGTGAGTTTCCTAATACTAAGCAACTTTTTGGTAACGTATCACACAATGTGACAAGATAACGTACGCGTCATTTATGTTTTTGTATTCGATAATTGCTTGATGTATGCGTGGGAGACTGTTATCTTCATCCCATGTACTTTCAGTTAACGTTAAGGTCCGCACCCAATAATAGAATCCCTCTTCGAAGAATACTGACACTGCTTCAAGTATAATAAAACCACATTTCTTTGTTAATAATGGGGGCCATCGTGTCAAGAGGTGTGACGTAGAGATGAATGAATAACCGATTAGTGCTGGTAGCAATGAAAGCATTAAAGTTTGTCCACAGACTGTAAGCATATCCAGGTTTACGTACTACAAAGTTGTATACTGCGACCCGTAACTTTTTGTTTTGTAATTGCCGAATGTATCTAACAATGCGTAGAACGAACTGAACACTTACGCAGTATAATAATTATTGAAATGATGGAATTGTTACTTGAAAATAATAATTTATTCATCAATTATGTCATAGACTTGATCGCCAACTTTAATTACTCAGAAATTACCGACATAAGTCAAGTCAGATTGACAACGTCTACTACGCTGTTCGCAAACAGAAATCGTCTTATGATCAAGCGAAGGAAACGCTGATAATGCTGCTATGGATTGGAAGTAGTGAAGGCGAAGCACGTAGACCAACGCTTGTGATATACTCACTTCCAACATCAGTAAATTTAGACGATATGCAAAATGGCTCGAGCATCGTAACGAACTCATAATTGGTTTTACCGAGAATGATGGTAGAAGCTTTACCATAGTTATTCTCGATATGGATTCTGCCCTGCATAGAATGGTCCCGTGTGTGGTGTGTTTGTGGACATAAACAATTATCCAATGGATGGACTAGCAACTCGACGAGTTTATCAATTACAAACAAAACGATGCCTACTTAGAATAGATCCCGGTTGATTGTATTCGATCTTATTTATGCATACTTATTCCACTCGAGATAACGTAAGCCGGATGATTTATACTATGACAAGGTTTATTAATTATGCATCATGTGTATTGAATTATGTGGATAATTATTGACTTGGTATAACGTATTATTATTATGTGATGAGCATCCGGCCGGAACTACTCCATTTGTGGGAGCAATTTGTGCACGTGGACCGACATTTATATAAACAAATGAATTTGTATGATAATGCAACTAAATCAACGCAGGATTTTCCAGCAGGACAATGATCCCCAAAAGATGATCGTGTTTTGTCTTGGCATGTAGTCCAGATCTCAACCCAATTGAGAATATCACAAGCTGCTTTAGAATATCTCTGATGAGGTAGTTCTTATATGTATTACCAGTATACCAGATCGCATTCAAGCCTGCATTGAGGCAGAAGGAGGGCACACTGAATATTAAATTTTTATAATAAAAACACCCCGCCATTATCTTAAGAGTTATAAATATTAGTTATAACAACAACGTATGTAATACCATCTATCATAATGATGTAAAACCCTTATCGCGTCTCAAGAAGGAGAGTAAATACTCTAGCAAGTTGTTACCTACTGAGGATGTGGAAATAATTATGATTTGAAGGTTACGTGTTGGTGTAAATAAAGTCAATCTATGATATTAACATAAACCTCATTATCTTATAAATCAATGACTCAAGACTTGTAATCTCATAGCTTAGACGAGTTTATTCAAAGATTTATCCACTTCTAATTAAATACGCTGTTTATACTTATCATAGCACTTATCTGTAATTAGGCAATAAAAGTTTTATTTTAAAACATATCCAATGGCTATCAGTAATTGGCCTTGGGATTTAGCTCTTTCAATCGAGGCTTGGCTAATCTCTAATACGGTTAGTGGCCTTATTATATACGAACGGTTAATCGATCGGCATAACGCAGGTTCTCGATTGTCAATAACTCTGCAGACGTTCTTTCGGTCCGCTAGTTCAATGGGGAATTGTATTACACCAAAATATACGCGCATATTGGTGCCAATAAATTTATGGGCAAGATCAATTCTACCTAGTGATTCCGGAACCCGCCGTCGGAATCGCTGAATATGAAGTGGCCAGGGATAATTAATGTCCAATATGTATATTGTTTATTATATGAATCATAAGCTACAAGTGTTGAAGGAATGTTAGATTCCAGAACTATAAGATAAAGATAAACATTGCTGAAGATGGGCGAAGATAATGTTAGCCAGCGAAACTGCCTCTGCTTATATACCTTTCTACTGTTTCTAATATATACGTTGGCATTGATTGATTGAATTGATTTAGAGTAGTGACTACACTGGTTGTGCAATGCGGTTTGGTAGTTGATGCGCTAATGCGTTGATGCGGAACGTTTAGCAGTAGTTTAACAAGCCACACGCATAGGAATTTAGAGTTTTAATTACATTCCAACAACACACTCGCTTTTCAGTTGATATTAATATCAGAGTTATCGTTAAAAGAGCTACAAACAGCGACATCCGATTGCGTATACTCTTATCAGTTAAATAAAGTCACGATGTAAAAGAATTTGGTAATACACCAGTACTAAATGGCTTATATTCACGAAACCAGTTCGCTCTTAATAGAATAAACAAAGATTATAATAAAGTGCTATATGAAGTCTTCAATAAAGTCATGCATTATAAAGCCATTCACCTGAGCGAATTTATTTGTATAACGACATCATTTAAGCTTCCACTATCGCTGTGTCTTCTTTCTATAAAAACATTTCTTTTGCTATATTATTTTCTTCTATTATATGCTTGCTTTCTATCAGTGTTACCGCCAAATAATGTCAAAGATGATGGAATCAACTTTTAAAACGTTCTCACACTAAAGATAAAGAAACGCCCAGGTCAAAAAACCACGAACAACACTAATATGGAATTTTTTGGTGCAGCCGGTATAGTCAGAGTTGACGGAATCACGATTATCGAAGCAATTCTGCGGATTTTCGTTAAAGTGGATTTTGCTGTATAGTTTACGACCACCTTTCTCTCGTAAGGAGGAATGAATCAGGCTGTCAACTAATGTATGGGCTCCTAAACAAACGAACTACTGTATTACATTGTGTATAAACTATGATAACACATGACCGCTACTTACCAATACTTTATTCGGCTTGTTTGAGCCCTGCTATTTTCACATTCTCAGAGTCGAAGTTAAAAGATTTTAATCGTCTTCATAGGGTGTCAAATATTGTTTAAGTCTGTCTTTAATTTGAATTAACCGCACTAGACGGTTACAATTCATGAATTGCAAACTACGGCACTCTAAAAAAAAAACACATGGGCATTTACAGTCCTAAAAAAATCCGGGTTTCTATAAAGTCTCTCCTTTAAATATTAATATACTGTTTGTTTAAAGTATCCCAAGCTCTAACAAAATTTTAACAATCATCCATTGAGCATAATAAACGCGTTTTTATTCTGCGGTATTAATTAGACATCAATATTATATTGATGTATGCATGGCTGTTGCTGTATTAATTGTTTGTTTACAGGAGAGGAAGGTCCTGCTGACTAAACCTTGGTTTGCCAGAAAGGATCTAGTTTCCTTTAGGAGATTACGCGAGTTTATCTAATCGGATAGACCGAGTGCCCTTTAAACTAATTCGTACATTGACTACCGTAGTCCAGGGAAGCGTGAATGACGGTATTCTCAATCGTAATGATACATCCCTCATGACCCAACTGAGTCACAATCTCGATATTCAACATGCAATCATTGCACGAGAAGAGAAATGGAGATATGGGTAGCGCGAGCAGTATGAACAGCAACATTACGTGCATATGAATGTATGTCAACAATGCGTTTATTCGATTAATCGAATTAATAATTTTCTCATACAACCAACGTGCCTCGCTTTTGGTGCCGCGAGAAATTTTGGTCTTCTTCAAAATCGCGTTGACGAGATGACACTAGTAGTATTAACAGGGGTCTACTATTATACCAAAAGTGTCTTGTCTTACTTGCAGTATCTATCAATTTCATGCATTGATTGTGGGATGTATGCACTGAAAGTAAATATTAACAGCACAGCAAATCACTAATAGCATAGACAAGCTGTTGACATGTAGTGTTACCCACACTGTAAAGCCTTAAGTCATAAGACTTGTTTACCCCAAGAGCTGTCTTGGTAAAAGAATAAACAAACGGGAGCAGAACGATGAATTGTTCGGTCTTTGCAGAATACGCGGTCTATTGCGGTCAAGATTATCATGTGCAGAAGAACATCTAAATTACTGTTGAATATATATATATAGAAATGGTAATAATTAATATTACGAAATTCTCCACACGCACTGATTGATAGATTATCTTGCATGATGCTTGATTTACGGTTTTATTTTTTAGAACAAAAATGTATATACCCTTTGTTTACTGTTATCATTTATCTTGTTTCTCAAGTTGGAGCCCCAAACCTAATTTTGCCGCGCAATTTACTTGCTTGTGTTTTGTTCACATACGCGTAAACCGCGTGAGTGACATTTTTGTGTGGGCTGCTCAATGCCATCAACAAAACGTAATTAATTCTACTGCCAGCTAATACTTACGGTGGACATGTTTAGCTCGCTTGCTTGCGGTTTGTATAAGTTAGAAAAGTTACAATGCCATTATATGATGCTTCCATCTTTGCTTGTTCCTCTTTCCTACTGTGAATCTCTTTGTTAGAAAATATTGATCGATAATGCAACATCTTACATGGAGAACAAGATCACCCTAATCACAAGACCATTCTATGCATACCAAGTGTTCTAAGGGTGGGGGGAGGTGGGGGGGCGGAAAGTACTCCAATGCCGAAAGTTTGGCGCAAAAGAAAAACGATTTTATTGGTTAAAACCAGGTTTATTTTCATATGAGATATGCTAAAATAAATTGATTCGTTTAGATTTTCTAGTGGCACCGAAAGATACCGCCGGAGAAAATCTTTGGGGGTTACACACATGCTACAGTAAGCAAATATTTGGCGCACTCCACCTCCCCCTTTGTATCATCATGAATGATTTATATGACTTTCTTTTACTCTGATAATCTGCGGGCTGCAACTACGGTCGTACCACTTCTCGATTCTATGAGGGAAATTTGCTGTTAATTACAAGCAGGTTGTATAGCCAGTAGTGGTTAGGCCAAGTGTAAAAATGTAGCCTGCAACACTAAAGTCAGCATTACTGATGTGTGACTCGTTTGATAGCGTTGTTTACATTCTGATGTCATTTGAAACTTGGTAACCAGATAAGATGGTAATATGATGCTATTTGGAAGATGACAATTATGGTGTTTTCCTGAATGTATGACAAGGGGAATAATGCCATGATTGAAAAGACCATACTGGGGACTATTAACAATTTAGTCGGAAATAACAGATATTTACAACTTTTCTAAATTTTTATCACAATAAGGAAATGTAAAATTTCTTTTCCATTAAAAGTATAGCAATAATAAACAAACAATTAATGTGCAAAGCTTATTGGATAAATTTGGCTAGCTTGAGAACATTCTCTTACATTGGCAGTGAAGGCAATGTTGTGCGATATTTCTCCAAGACGATAAAGATGATGGAATAGGATATAGAATGATAGATAGACACCAAGTTGGCCAAGTTGACGAGCAAGGTTGTTACACTGAAAAAACAGTGGCAATTGTTCATATTGCATTATGCCTAATATATATGTTCACCAACTTGTTTGGAATTATACCATTCTATGTAATGATGGTTTGTGCTACAATATTTAATGAGGTCGACTATTTTTGGCACTTCTAGATTAAACCTACGTATAATTGGGATACAATTGGCACTTTTTATACCCCTTTTAATGAAAAAGAAAAAGAAAACCCGTTTTTTCCCTCTTTTCAACGTGCAAAGTTGGATCGCGCGATATAAACACAAGATCGCGATAGCAGCACATAAGACACATAGGGTTAATAACATAGCCACGTCACATAAGTTATAACATCCAAAAGCATGCATGCATAGCGTTGCTTTTATTATTCGATGGTTCGTGGCATTATTTCGACTTTGCTTGCGGGCTTGCATCTGACTTTTGATTCAGAAAAATATTTATTGTACAACGATATTCACATGAGACAATTCGCATATAGAAATTCGCGTGGTACGAAATATGAGAGATGCAGCTTTAAGAGAATTTTTTCAAAGAAAGAATTTCTTTAATAAGAATGACGATTATTAAATGATCGAGCTTTATTGGATATTGATATGCGATGGGTACATAATATTATAATATATTGATAGGAATAGTATTAAACTGCCGCCAGCCTTAATCACTATCAATTCCTCTTAAAACGAAATGCTTTTTTGACAAAGCGAGCATTCGGATTGGCAGGTGGAGTGGGTGGGGGACTTGAAGGGCTTGAAGCATCTGGAGGAGGAGTGCTTGAAGTGGGTGGGGGACTTGAAGGGCTTGAAGCATCTGGAGGAGGAGTGCTTGAAGCATCTGGAGGAGGAGTGCTTGAAGTGGTCGGAGAAGCACCTGGAGTTGAAGAGCTTGGAGAAGGGCTTGGAGCAAGACAAACGCCGTTAAAGCTAAACTGTGGAAGACACCCAACTCCGCAGTAATCCACACTCGATCCACAGTATCCATTTGAGCTACAACACGGCAGGCTCTCGGTGCAGTTGTGTCCACCCATGGCTGGACAGCCAATGTTATCCGGAAGCGGACCAGTGGAATTTAGAGCAACTAGATAAAATGGATTAGAGATCAAAGTGTCAGTATCGTAGAGCCACCCACTAATGTAATGCGGGATTTTACTTACAATAGTTGCTATAGGCGTAAGACGGTTGAGCTTTGCCAACAATGAACGCATAGTCTTGTCCGCTCGGACTGTCTGCCGACGGAGTGTAGAAACACGCTGAAAAGCAAATAGCAGTAGAATTGTCAAGCAACGGTATATAATATTTCAATTGATTCCAACACTCGCTTTAACACGTGTACTCTACTTACATTGGCTCGAACTAGGTACGTTTGTGCAGATAGCATAGTCTATCGTGAGATTTCCAGGTTCTCCATGTGATAGCAAGACATCGACCAGAGGCTCTATCGGGATGTCATCCACTTGGGTTTCCCATGTAACGTTGTATGATTGGCCCAGAGATAAGGTCTGTCCTACGGGTGGGAAAGTGAATACGTATGAAGCGTGGATGGACGCCGACAGAGACAAGACGATGGTCGAGAGAAACAAAAGGTTGGAGAGAGAAGTAAAGGCCATGTTGGATATGAAAAAGGCATCCTTGGTGAGAAAGGCGCATATATATATAACGATGAGCGAGCGTTCTTGGATGTTGTCAATTTGGAAAGTCTAATTGTCGTTGACAGAACCTCATTTCGTCGAGAGAATGTTGGTATAATAGTTGTGCAACGATAGATTTGAATGAAGTTACCTTTGGAACGACAATCGGTATTGGATAATTTCTATATTGATGACCATTGGGAAATTAAATTTTTTTGTTACTTGGGTTTTTGTTTTGTCCAAAGCAGTTTCTTTTTTGGCCGCTCTTTTGTTTCTCCTTGTTTGCTGAAATAATGTAGATGTGATTCACGTGACCAGGGTATTGATGTCTATAAAAGTCTTTGGGTATTACAGTAAAAAAAATTTTCATAGATATACGGAAAATAGAATGTTTATAGATTGGATTGGGGAGGTCGAGTGGGAGGGAAATAGATTAATATGGGGGAAATGCATATCAATAATGAGATCCCATTCTCCCTACATGTCTATTTGTTTGGGTTAATGGGGATTGGTCTTTTAGTGGGGGCGGATGTGGGTGGTTTGAGTGTAGGTTTGACCTTAGCGCCGAACCCAATTGACCAAACAAGCAAATGCAGAAAGATGAGATATGAAGAACAAAAGAGATAAAAGATAGGATAAAATGGGGGCGTAAAGGATGATCATACATGATGTAGTGTTTAATGTAGTGTAAATGTAATGTAAATGTAGTGTAAATGTAAGTGTAAATGTAAGTGTAAGTGTGAATGTAGTGCAATGTATAAAAGTATAATACGAAGATGTAGTGTATTACAATTACAATGTAGTGATAATATATATACATGTAATGTAAGGTATGTATAATGTATAGTGTAAGGTATGTATAATGTATAATACATAATATATCGATTATATACATACTATACATCCACTACACATACCACTACACATACCACTATACATCCACTACACATACCACTACACATACCACTACACATACTATACATACCACTACACATACTATACATACCATCACACCAACATACACATACCATTACACTATATACCCACTATACCACTATATACTCATTATACTATACACTACATAAAACTACATAAAACCGTATACAGTCTTTAGTCAGATGACTATGATTTGAATGTATTAGCTATATTTAGATGGTCGTGCAATAGAATTTTATGCTTTTGCGAGTACTCAAATATTTATACTTGCACGAGTAATTTTATAATCGACACTATTACCATTAGTATTAACAGTGTAAAAGTAAAAGAGCGACATCAAGTGTTTGTAAAATATGGTTGAATATGGTGTAGTCTTTTGGGGTCTTTGATTATGTGAGCGGATAAGCAGTTGAATATGATGAGCTTGCCGTGTGGAGCACAAAATCTTGTACAATTGATGAGAGAAGAAAATCGATATGTAAGTAATAGTTTGGAAGCAATGGTTTGGTGTGGTGTGGATGTGTAAATAAATAAACAATATAATATTTATATCACCAATACCTCGCCCATTTATATGTTTATACTAGTCACATATTCCACATATTCTCCACTCCACTCACTCGCACCCACCCACTCATCTCCCCCTCTCCACTTCTAGTGTAACGTTGTGGAGTAAACAATGCAGGTGACTCTGTATTACCTACCATCTTGAATTGATATGATTTCCGTATTACATACATTCCCCACAGTATGTCACGTGAATTAATCATAATACATATTACATAGTACAGTTTTTTTAAAGTTTATTTATTATACGTGTGATTCAGCAGTGAGCCTGAATGAGAGCGATCTAGGAGAATAGACAAAAATTACAAGAATGCAGATATCGCAACTCGGACTATAAAGCAGCGATAGATTTGTAGACGTAGATAGGGCTTTTATGATTAGTTCTAGGATTTTTAAAGGAATGTCGTCCAATATCAAAATAATCATCTCCCATCGAGTATCAACAAACACAACAAAAAAGCCATGTCCGATGTGATTGGTGATTATAATTGATTGCATTTATATAGTTGCTGGCGTGTTTGCTATCAATGCATTTATTAAAGCTAAATGCACTGATTAAACGGTTAAACGGATTAAACGGATTAAGTGGACCCATTCACACAATGAGAAATTGGCAACAATATCAACGATGGCAAAGGTGGCGATAACAACGAGGGTACAGTAATGGTAACAGTGATGATGATAACAACGAGGGTACAGGAACGATAACAACGATGGTATGGTAAGTAACAACGAGGATAACAACCAGGGTGGTAACAATAATAATGCAATGCTGTTACTGCCTTGCGCTGTTGCTGTTTCGGTTGCTATTTTGGCTGCTATTTGGATGCCTGTTTCGGTTGCTGTTGCTGCTTCTGTTGCTGCTTCTGTGCCGTTTCTGTGCTGCTTCTGTTGCTGTTTCTGTGCTGCTTCTGTTGCCGTTTCTGTTGCTGCTTCTGTTGCCGTTTCTGTTGCTGTTACTGTATAGTCTTTGTTCTGTAGTATAACAACATCCATATCCATATCAACAAGGACAACGTATATGCGTTGGTAGTATTGTTCACCTCCACATATTAGTCATTTCATTGTGCTTTATCAGCTGTCGATATTTTTATTTTTTATGTATTGCGATGCAACGCAGATGCACTCCTCAATATGTTTGTCTTCATTAATCAAAATACGCCATCGAAATGCAATACAACAGCGACAATTCATGAAAACCCAGAGTATAAAAAATAAAAGAACATGATAAATAATAACAATGAAATAATAATGATAATGAATAATAATTATAATGATAATAGTAAATAAATAAAAAAATAAAAATCAAAACAAAACAAAAAAGAGAAAAAAAGCGATCAGACCGTATAAATAATTTACAATACTTCTGCAGCCAAATTACACAATAAAAATACTAATAAATTCAAATACATGAAACAATATATTGTAGATTGTAGTGTATTAATTATACGCACTGTATTATTATTACCTAAATTATTATTAATTTTTTTTTTGCCCGCTAGTTTGTATTTATTATTAGATTCATTTCGAACTTGCCCTCTCACCCTCTTCTCCTTTTACCCTCTTCTTCCCCCCGATTTGTACCTTTACACCTCTTATACACCTTTCACCTTCCCTCCCTTGTTCGACTCCTCCTCCCTCCATCACCCCCCCACCCCTACCACGACCACTCCCCCCCCCCGCTACTAATTACACTCTCCTACACTTGCATCTTACGAACCGCAGTGTGGTGAATGTGGAGAGGGTTATATCGATATACCAGGTAAGAAGCTTGGCAAACAAGTCGGAACCAACACTATTCAGCGACTGGAACAAGTGCCATGAGACCCTAATGAGCGGCCGTTTGAAAATTGTCGCTCGAAAACAGTGGTTTAAATGGTGTTTACAGTTTGCCAGTGGAATAATGTTTAGAGATTCATGTCGACAACACGGGCGCGTTTTACTACAAGTAAACAACAACTCGTATCAACCGGAACGCGCAACAAACAAATGCCGCGTCATACACAAATACTCACTTTTATACTTTTCTCCCTTTTTCTCTCTTCTCCTATCTCGCGTATCCATTATATCACGGCGATATCAATTCAAACAACCTGGAACATCATTCGCATCGGAATACCCGTATGCTTGCGTCATATATTGCATATATTGTTTATATTGCATATATTGTTTATATTGCATGCTTTCTTTTATCTTTCACACTGACTCACTTTTTCTTCTTCTTCTTGTCCAGCGTGAATCGATCAAAATAGACCCATAGACATAACTCGCTTTGAACTTGTCAGAATTTAACCTTGATTATTTTTTTTTCTCAATATAAAAGAACTCTGATATCACCAAATAACCAAAAGACAAAAAGCAAAAAAGACAAAAACAGCACATACATATATTCTTACTCGATAGATCAGGCGGTTACAAATAACTTTACTTGTATATTTGTAACGAGTACTCTTATTTGTTGTGACGACGGTACTTACAATGACAACTTCATTGTCAACATCTACAACACGTAATGGACAACAGAACGGAAGACAGATTGCTCGTCCACTTCGTCGCTCAGCCAGAATTTCGGATATAAAGGATCGCAAGGCAGGCGGGACTAACACTGGCATTGGTAGTGCTTCCAGGAGTGCTTCTAACAGCACGTCGACGTCTAACAATTCCAGTTCCACTTCCCCGGCCACCGTATCCTCTTCTACATCATCAGTGCGAAGTAAAGTAGTCTCGAATCTCAAATCAGGAGGCGTATGTGGATGCAAATCTTCAGTGTCATCCCATTCGTCTTCAGCTCACTCGCGTTCGCATGCTCATGCTCATCACGCGGGTGCCCATACCAGTGCTCGAACCAACGCTCGTACAAGCTCTCACTCTAATGCTCATGCCAACGCTCATGCCAACACTCACACCAATGTTCGTGTCAACGCTCATGCCAATGCTCATGCCAATGCTCACACCAATGTCCGTGCCAACGCTCATGCCAACGCTCATGCCAACGCTCATGCCAACGCTCATGCCAACGCTCATAACAATGTTCGTGCCAATGCTCATGCCAACGTTCGCGCTAACGTTCACAACGTTCGTGCCAACGTTCGTGCCAACGTTCAGACCAATAGCACTCGTGTCAACCTTCAGACCAACAGCGCTCGTGCCAACCTTCATGCCAACGCTCATACTAGCGCTCATGCTAATTCTCATTCTAATGCTCATGTTAATAATGCCCGTGCCAGCACGCACTCTAACGCCAATGCCAATGCCAGTGCTAATATCAATGCCAGTGCTCCTATCAATGCCAGTGCTACTATCAATGCCAATGCTCCTATCAATGCCAATGCTCCTATCAATGCCAATGCTCCTATCAATGCCAATGCTCCTATCAATGCCAGTGCTAATGTCAACACCAGTCTTTCAACACAAAGACCAACTAGTAAGCCGAAGAAACAGATCAGCCAGCAAGTTGTAGTCAAGACAGCACACTGTGAAAAGAAATTAAAAGTTTCAGATGATGTTGCAAAAGAGGAGGTGAAAAGTGAAAAGAAAAGCGAAGACGCCGTGATTATCGCGAGCAACTTGACAAAGATGCCCGTTGATTTGGTGGTTTATTTGTTAGAATTCTTGGGTGAGTATTACCGAGGCGAATGAGAATTTACAAGACGAGACAATAAGAGTACCTTTAAAAAAATGCTGTGGGCATACTAGTCAAAGCAATCGCGCTGTATTGCAATTTCGCGTATTGCTTGCCATGTGAATGCCTGAGCGCCTTTTTTTTTTTTTGAGATAGAGATTAGTTTGATATGAAAGCGGATTTACGTGCAAAGAAAAAAACTGGTACTAACGTGTCGTTATTGTTTCATTAATCACTTGCAACGGTCATTGTAGACGGTATGTATTGTACAAATGTTGTCAATCCACGGACACGTAATTCTTTTTGACTTGTTCATTTCTAATTCTCCATTTCTTTTCAATTATCACGTTCAGGTCCTGCGCTAGCAACTATGGAGCACGTCTCAAAACAGCTCTGCCAACTTATCCGTGGTCCGCATAGCCCGTACCGTGCACTATATAACAGGTTGGTCCATACGTATCGCCCAGTAAAACCTCTCTCTGAAGACGGCGACGAATTCCTGTTACATGCTCCGATGTGGATTGGAAATGGAAAGTACGGACGCGACCGTAAAGTTGGCCTTGCTGTGTATGATTGGAAGGTAAGTCATGATTACAGTGAAACAAAACTATGAAGAGAGTACCAAAAGCTCGGTGAATCAAGATTTTAACCCATAATTTATCCAATTTGCGTCAATGTTGCGGATAGGTCCAGGTGATTATCTTAATTTATTAATTGTTGATGTTCGAGAATACATTATTGTGTCTTTTCCCTCATCTGTTATACAATTCACCGAATAATCATCTCGCTTTGCTTAAATAGTTTGTCGAAACGTACAAATTCTACGTCACGGAAGTATGCACAATCTGTGGCAAACATGGCGATCCTATTCCTGTATGGGAGGTTCGATTATGTAGGTTTTGCATAGTTCGTCAGTTGGTAAACAAAAGTGCTTTGAGTTCTTTCGCTCTGTCTGCAAAGGAAGTTGAAGTATTGAAGGTATGAATAAATACATCAGAGAATGACTGCACATGGAAACTTTCTATTTCCCTTGTCTTAATATATTACCATCTTCCAGCCATGGAGAACATACGTATATGATCTCGGGATGACGTGTACGTTTTACTTGCGCGCTCACCTCGACTATCTACGCAAACAAAGGCATCCTTCCGCCACCAGAATGCAGTTAGATCGTCAAGTGTCTGAACGCCAGGCATCGAAATTTCAACACGAAACCAGGAAACGAAAGAAAAAGCACCGCGAACAAGATGAGGCACACAGCGAAAGGTCTCAGGCTGTGCTTAGATGCTTTAGAGTTTTAAACTTGAAGCCAGAGACGAATACTATGGATGAGTGGTGGTTTCCTAAAGAACTAAAGTTGGAGATATTAGAGGTGAGTTTATGTAAAAGGAAGGTTTTTTGCTAGTCCACGTGTGACGTGTCATGGAAGAATACACAAATATGTACTAACACTTCTTGACTGTTCTTGACTGTTCAGTACATTTCTAATAAGACCAACAATAGTTTGGCCAGAAAGCGTCTAAGAATGTCACTCGGTGCATCCCCACCTTCGTCGTCCTCATCAGCAGACCTAATTGCAAAAGCCAAAGCAACCCGTAAATCTCTTGACGATATCATCCATGATTTAGAAGTAATCGTAGTTCCACGACACGAGAGACTCAACGAAATCAATAAACGTTTGTATCAGAAGCATGGCATTCAAGTGGACAAACTGCGCACCACACTTGATTTGAAGACACGTCGGATATATGATGATTATGTCCTTGGCGGCAATGGAATTAATAGCAGAGATTATGTTTCATCTATACCGCCATACTCACCTTCATATGCATTGTCATCATTGAGCTCGCCTTCACTGTCCTTGTCATCATTTCCGTCCTCTTCAGCTTCTTCGTCTTCAATATTTTTTCCGCCCTTACTCTCTATCGATCGTACTATAGAAGAGATTCTTTCGTTCTTCGATCGAGAGCATATCTTTGACGAATCCGTAAAAAACGCTTGGAGTACGTCTATAACGCAGGAAGATTTTCTTTTATGTGATCTGGACCCACAAAAATTCCTTCGTGATGCCAAGGAATGGTGGGCTCGTCGAGGAAAAAAGCCCCCGCCAGAACGATGTGGAGAATTATATCTTGCTCGAGTGCGCAAGCGTCAAGAGTGGTTACGCACAGACATGGCTGAGATCAAGAAACAAGAGACGTGGAGAAGACAACTGTTGGAGAAAAAGTTGAAGGGAACTATTGATTGGCATTATACCGAGTTGAAGGATGCAATTGAGGAACTGAAAAACGTCTATGAAACCAACTTGAAACGAAGAATGAGAAACAGAGTGATATTCTGGATGAAGGGTTTGTCCACTTGCTTGAAGATGGTTGAACCTGTTGGGCATTTGAAAAAGATGTATGCAGACTATGAGGACTTTATTAAAAATTGTAACGGGTTTGTTTGTTCAACTGAAGAAGGTTGCTGTGGATGTCTCGAATGTAAGTGATACCAATAATAGTAAATTTGGGTGTCCATGTGTATGGTCATAACAAGTTGGTAAATGCTAAATGTCTCAAGTATCTTACAAATTCACTCGCTTTCTTTTTAGATGCGTTTAAAGACATCTTAAAAGCTAACAATGAACTACGCAGAAGAGCATGGCTTGACAGAGAGCTAAGAACATACATATACATACATTACCAGGGTCCTGACTTTTTAGCAAGTCCTGAAGCAAAGGAAGTCTACAACTGTGCTGCAAGATGTAAGTTCAAACGATATTGTGCACACGTGATTGTACACGTGTACAATCACGTGACTAAACGAGATTCTTAATCGAAATATTTACACGTATCATTCGTATATTTCAACTCGATCTATAGACAACAAAGTTCCCAAACGTATAGCAGCTCGTTATGTTGCACGTACGGAATGCTTTATGCAACGCCTCCTCAACGAAATTCCAACATTCTCCCTCGACCTAATTACCTTCTCGGCACGTGAACATTATCGTGCATGCGTAGGCGAATTCCCAACCGATCTTTATGTAACGTGCAACAATCGCTTCATATTTGACTACTCTCATCCATCGGATGCCATAAATTACTTTATAAGCGATCCTGAACTCGACTCGGCAATTGAAAAGATTAAAGAATGTGAGCGAATCAGAATATCCCGTCTCGAGATGGTTGACAGGGCAGCAAAGGAGGCGAAATTACCATTGACGTATTGGAACAAGTCGCTGATCAAGAGACCGAACGAAAACAATAGTAGCTTTGCACAAAGAGTGAGATGGATTGCGGGCAACGAGTGGTTTTCATTTAATCAGTTGGCACAGGCATGGATTTATGATGAGACACAGTTGCCCTTTAGCGAATTGGTTCCATTCATTGAGCGTCGAGCAAAGACTATGGAGCATGAGAAGCGCAAAGAAGATATTCAGGCAAGGTAAGAAACGTGTCATGATGGCTGAAATATTGCGTTTTCGTGGTATACTTGTGATACAACTAGTACTTATTATACCTGGAACCTTTTTTTTTAGGATCAAAGAGGATCCACGTTTCCAAACCTTGTTTACAGATTTGGACGAAGAAGCTGATTTCTTCCTTCGCGCTTCATACGAGATCATGACTATATACAAAGTATCGAACTTGTACAAATCGTACGTTGATGATGTAGAATCTGGCATAAAACCCGCAGACATTGTAAACCAAGTTGTCGATCTAATAAGAGACGTTAAAACTGGTGTTATCAGTAAGAGTTCGTTGTGTGTGGCTGATCGAGAGCGATTTAGCGAAGAAGACGAGGACGAAGATGATAGTCAGAACAATGCTAACAATAACAATAACAATAACAACACTACCAACACCAACACCAACACCAACACCAATACCAACAACAATACCAACAACAATACCAACAACAATACCAACAACAATAACAGTAACAACACTGCCAACGTTACCAGTAACAACATTAACAATGGAAATCCTATTGGCACAAATAATTTGAACGGTGGAAACAACATATTCAATAGGATTGGAACAAGCTTTGCTTCTTCGCATAACGGACCTTGATTATATATATATCTTCCACCGCTGTTTTTAACAAATCAAACATTATAACTCATCGTTGAGTTTATCGTATAACAAAATATGTCGCAAAAAAAACGAGAACACATATGTAGTGCTTTTTTCTTTTAGTTTTTTCTTCTCATTACTCTTTTCTTTCTCTTTTTATTTGATCTCATTACTCTTTCATTCATCTCATAACTTTCAATTTCTTTTATTTTATTGTTTCTCTCTTACATCTCATTACTCTTATAATTTCTCATTACTCTTTGTTCGTCTCATTACTCTTTGTTTGTCTCATTACTCTTTGTTCGTCTCATTACTCTTTGTTTGTCTCATTACTCTTTATAATATTCTCATTACTGGTTCATTTATCTCATTACTCTTTATAATCTCATTACTCTCCATTTCATCTCAAACAAAAGAAAAACTTACCTTTAACTATGCTTTTGAATTTTCTCACCCAGATGTTTCTGCAAAGAAAAACTTGAATTGGCACTTTAAGATTTTAACTTTCGATTGCCATATGTGTACATATGATAAATTAGTAAGTACTTAAGGTGAACTGAGATCAATAGAATTCTCAGTTCAATCAGGTGGGCGGAACTTCCTGATATTTTCCACATCACATTTTATACAGTCTTCCTTAAAAACTTTCTGTCTATGATCATAAAAATTGATTCTTTGGGATATCGGACTTTTAAATTCATGAATAATTCTCCTAAATATACAACCCATTTAATAAGCATGCTTTTACTCCACACATCCATTTTTCATTATAAAAAGGAGACAAGAACATTGCAATGCCATAAGCCTTGATTTCACGAGAATGGTGGTTTATTCTGTATTTTTTTTAATCTTCAATTTTTTTTTTGCTTTTTTTTTTTCCTTCTGTGTATAAAGTTTTACAAAGTGATTTGAATTAGTAAAATCGATTTCATTGTGTATATTGTGATCAGTTGTTTACTCTGTTTCCGTGTATAGTAAAGTTATCACTCGATGCAAATGTTATAATATTGTGGAAAAGATACATTGTTCCGATTATGTTACCGGAAATGGCTACCCCAGTCGAGTCCATAGAACGGACTTCCTGTGGTAGAGGCTGAATGGAGCCTGGTCTACTCTATCTTTGGATGTTTACTGTATATTTATTAGAAAACTTTACATGTACGTGCATAAACAGAACAATTTAAATAATAGCAACAGTGGCAGCAACAACAGCGACACAGCAACAGCAGCAGCAACAGCAACAGCACACTCACAACTACCTTCCTACATATAAAAGAGCCCCCACCAAATGTTAATCGAATGGTAATCTTCTAGGAACTCCTTGTCCTGCAACAATTTTAGCTCCAATTGCACTGGGTACTCTTATACCACAGCATTCAGGAAACTCTTGTCCAAATGCATGTACATGTATATGATTATATTCATCTTCCTCGTCATCTGCAGCAACCAGCGTAGCCCCACTGCCTTCAAAGCGTATGAGCGATCCAAACATGAAATGTTGCATTATCGGAAGTTTACTCAGGACCTCCCCTTTGTACATTTTGACCATTCCTTCATTTATCTTTGCCCACGTTCTGAATGGTTAATGGAAGAAAAATGAACGGATAAGTATAATGATGGAGAATGAAAGATAAAACAGCAAGAAACATTTGTTACAAACTTCACTCCCGATATGTCATCAATCATTGGAGAACTCCAGCGTAGCGATTCGGTTTTCACCTGCGAAATTGGTGATTGAACAAAACTTGGCTCATCTGAATTATAATATTCGCGAACAAAACGAATACTTACTGAATTGATAAACTTTATACAAGCCAGATACATGAAATCTTTTGAATATTCATCAACAATATCAGTGTCATGAATAGACTTTGGTCTAATATATTTATGTCCTAAAACAAAGCAAGAGATGAAAAGATTAGCCAGGTATAGCGGAAATTGTCGTTCGCATGCTAACATACCTGTTAACTGAGCAGATCCAAACATAAAAGGTAAAAAATGATAGTCATCCAAACCCCAAACGCCGTGAGAACCCGCTGGTTCGAGCCAATATTTGAATTGTAGATTACGCATTATTTCAATGTATCTTAATAAAATCCAGGTCATAACAGACCAAAAGAAGAGTAAATTCCAGAATTTTTATCACCGCAGAATACAAAAACCACAATGAACTTTTCTTACTTTTGAAATACTTTTAATACAAGCGCAACATGATCATCAGGGCCAATTAATCCCAGCTTTTCAAAACATAATCTATAATGACAATTTTAAATGTTAATCGTCGTTTGTGTTAGACATCATTCCGCATCTTTACCGCTCAACCTCCATGCACTTTTCTTTATCAACAATATCTTCGCCAATAAATGCTTCTACTCACAACCAAACAGCAAAATTTGCCTCATGGCCGGTGCCATAGTCGATTCTTTTTTTGTTTCCCCAACTCTCAATGAAATACCGAGACACCTCTTGTATGGCTGCTTGGGGTAACAAGAGATTTTCGTGTATTTCGTCAGCATTCTAATGATTAGGGTAATTGATTAGATATATCAGAGATCCGAATGTAAAGTCTGAGGGCTCGTATTGGAGTATTGTACACGATGTTCCCCATCGCATTGTGTGTGTGATAGGAAGATTGACGTTGTTGATGTTGATGGGAGAAGAATGTACCTTTGCTATTCGATCATAAAAGTCACGAAAAGCTGGGTTGCCATAACGGCTTTGCTTATTGTGAAGTGGCGGTATTTCATCACAATATGAGTTTACAGTGTTTAATACTTCGAGCATATGTTGAACTACCTAAGTAAAATTGGGTATAATGCGAAATTAAGAGAAGTAATCGTAAAATGCTTCGAAACAACACCATTTCCCCGTAATCCAACTACCATGCACATAATACACGCAAATATTTAAACTCAAACTTTAGAACTAGATAATAACTCACTTGAGATACGTGACACTCGGTACTTAATGGGAGACCTTTAACGGAATTGTTGAGTCTTACTATGAAATTGAGGAATTCCTCATATGCTTCTGATTCGTGAAACTTTGCCAAATCGTCTCTGGTTAGAATCTCCTTCCGGGGAATTCTAAACTCTGTTGGAAGAATACTCATAGTTGCAGACGCTAATTTCGAAGAGGTGAGGATGAGAAGGATACGACAGTCTGCTAGAATGAGTTATAACATCGTATCACGTGTTATTAAGTACTGTCGATGTCGATGATCATTGGGTAATAAATAACCTAAAAACTGTAACAATAATATATGTATCGCGCTCTGTGAAGGGTCCGAAGAGATTTTATTTACTACATGAATGAGTTATATAAGACAATGCTATTCATCCGCATCAGTAGGTAAATTTTTTTTCTTTTCGAACCATATAGAATGTCTTCATTCATGACGCTTTGTTGTAGCTACTAGTTGACATTCTGCAATACTAATTCTTCTGATTTGATTGAACTCGATACTTGTAGTAAAATTACATTAGTCGCGTAAGTTCGTCAGTAATGCGTAATATTAATTTCTGATAACGTGCGTTTAAATTTTAGCGCCTAAGAATAAGATTGAGTTAATTTGTAGCGATAGTGTTTATATTTTATTAATCAGAAGTCCTGTGATTGTGATTGTGATTGTGATTGACAGAAGCAAGCAAAGTTCATTCAACAAGTGGATATCCTGCTCACTGATCTGGAACTCTCTCACAGTAATCAAAGATTCCATCTCGCAATTAAATCTTGTACAGTCGACTGCCGATAATTCGACTTTCCCAGTAATTCACTTTGAGCAAGACCTGATTTTTTAATATTATTGTTCTTCCTTAAGTACGTCTGTCGCTAATTCGACCTGTATGTTAATTCGACCGATAACTCCGGAACGCAGACGGTCGAATTAAAGGCAGTTGACTGTGTTTCCAACTCTTGTTGCATTGACATAAACTAAATTTATTGTATTCAGGATTCAGGATTTCATTAAGCGACGACGGGTTTTAAGACATCGATAGAAGTTGAACTAATTTCGTTCAACATCTTCGCTGTCATCATCGTTATGTGCATATTTATATAAGTCATCTTCACTATCACGTCTTATCTGTAAGTAAGTCTTACTTTTACTACTAATGCTGAATGATTTCCTATCGATTTTCTTGCCTCAGAGAAGCGCAAAAAACCCCCATTATAATTAATGTTGACTGTCAAAGCAAAAAGTTAAACTATCCTACTCTACAACAAGGATCTTGCCAACAAGTTTTTTCGTCTTCAAATTGATAGGTCGGTTACTACGCTTTATTATTATTTTTCAGATTGTAATTGTGCAATCTTGCGGTATGGACAATGTCACAAACAGTCTAGCTTTATATGTCGCTTGTTCAACTGCATCCTTTAAAACTATTGGAATGTGTAACAACGGCTCTGCGATATCGCAAACAGAAAACATATACAATATTGAAACACGAGTATGATTGACCAACTAATTGAGTACTTGAACCCTCAGTTTCCATCTAAATCAATAGCTTACTCGGAATTCACGGATGTTAAGCGTATTGAGCAGTTGACCAGACCGATTGTTCATTACGCTAAACATGAGACTACATTTGTAATCTTGATTTTTCTTGGAAACAGAGATAAAACGTTAAATGATTTGATTGAAGAACTTTCTGCAACTTATTCTGTTCCAACAGATAATACACCGAAAATCAATAATTTCAGAAGATACGAATGGTTGCTCAATCTTCGCAACAAGCTGATAATAGGTTTTACTAAAAGCGACGATGGCTATTTTCTTGTGGCCGGGAGAACGTTTTACCATTATCACTCTTTGTATGGTTTCTGTTCTACTTGCGGAAGACTCAGGTGCAGTCCAGCGTGGTGTATTTGTGGTTGTAAAGAGCTGTCAACTGGATGGACTAGTGGCAACGAGAAATTAGACGAGTTTATTAGAAAATCACAAAGGGAGACAAACACTGGCAATGACAAGTATCTGGAATGGATTCCGTGTGACCGAATTTTCCGTTTTGAATTTATGCAATACGATGTTTTTGCTCTTCCGCCCGAAGGTCTACCGGCTGATATGAAAAGTAGTTTGCGAGAAAGTAACATATTAATGTTTCAAACTCACAGGGTGATTGTGTCACCGCTTGAGATTTCAAACAATACTGGGGATTCATTTTATCAAAATGTGAGTATTCAGAATTTATATTAATATATACACGTAGAATATCTTTCGTTACTGATAAATTCTATTCCAGTTATGTGAAGAGAATTCTGATATACTTGTCAAGAATATCTGGATTACTTTCGGATTTACATATCATCCAGCATGGGAAAAATATGCTTTAATCAAATTCTATATTGAATGGTATGAATCTAAACTTGGGATATGTTTGGCCTGCACAAGCAGCCTACGACCATATACTGATGTGTTTTGTCCTGCTTGCAAATCGCCCCGGCCTCTTGACTGGACTACTGGTAACAGATCGCTAGACAAATTTATAATGGAATCATGGAAACAACAAACTATTGAGACCGATCACGGACCACTTAACCAATTTACAATGGATTTATTATCCTGGAAAAAGCAAACTAACGAAACCGATCGCTATTTGCAGTGGATACCATATTGTCAACTGACTAACATAAGGGAATCACCATCGTTAGAGCATGGCTGTTCACATGCAGCAGATTGGTTAGAACTAACATCAACTGCACAAATAACAAAAGGGGTTATGCTCAAGAAAATAGTTGATGGATGCAAAGCCCAATCATTTGATTTTTTTGAAGTATGTAATGATATTTGCTAATGATAATCTTAATAGCATGAAAATATATGGTACTGAGATTCGATTTATATTAACTAGTTGATTAAAGATTATCCCAAGATATTACGTCCAAGTAATTTCTGGATTGCTGGTATCACTCAAGAACCATTGACTCAAGACTTCCTTTTAGTATTTTATACTTTACATGCGACTATCATCGAGTTTGTACGAGCCATAAGGGTAAGTCAGGGTGAAGACAGCTTTGGATGGATAGACTATAACAATTTTGACGAAATCCATGAATTAGGAGCTGGCGGTTATGGGATCGTATATGCTGCTAGATGGAAAAACCCCTTTAAACCACACTCAGACTCTACCTCAACCTATGTCGTCCTAAAAAGTCTAAAAAATCTTCATCAAATGATAGATAATTTTTTTAATGAGGTAAATAACAATGGTCAATGTTTTATTTCTTGTATAAGCTAAGCTAATATACTACTCGATATACAGATCAAGTATCTTATCCGAGCATTATACCGTAATCGCAGGTTTCTTCCGATCTATGGTGTCACACAGCAACCAGAAACTGGAAAATACATGATGGTAATGCAATATGCTGAGGGTGGTGACATGACATCATATTTAAGCCAGCACATCAGCCAATTGACATGGGGTATGAAAGTGAAGTTCTTGAAAGGAATCATCGAAAATCTGGATGTCATGCATAGTCGTGGTTTAATACATTGCGATCTTCATGCAGGAAATATACTTTTTCATAAGCATGTAGTTAACGAGGAATGGAGTGGTATTGGGCCTGCTTTTTTCATGGACGAATTTACTGCATTTGTATGCGACCTGGGACTTGCTCAAGAAATAGATACATCTAGTAAAGATTCATCAACTGTCTGTGGTGTTCTTCCATATATTACACCAGAAGTCTTCCGAACTCGCGAGTTTACACAAAAGTCAGATGTTTATGCATTTGGCATTTTGATGCATCAAATGGCCAATGGTGAGCTGCCATTTAGAGATGTGCCATTTGATTTTATCTTGATGAGAGAAATTTGCAATGGCTTACGACCGGAAATGCCTTCTTCAGCGCCGGAACCTTATAAGGAGCTTGCAGCCGAGTGTTGTGATGCTAATCCTGACAAACGTCCTACTGCACGCGATGCAGAGAAAGCTATGCTCGCTCTTATTGAGGCTATAGAAAAAGATGGATCTAGCAACAATGTGTACAAACCTCATGCAAGTCACATATCGCGCTCTGAGAAGGAGTTCAGGTATACTAGTAAGGTGTTACCGCAAGGAGACCTTCCTGAACCAACGAATAGTTGTGAAATAAGTTTCAGCGCAGGTATGAAGAAACGTTGTTTATCACATTAAATGATATATATTTATGTGTGTGTGTGTGACTAAATGCCATTATTGTAAATTGTTGGGTATTTTCATTTTTAGACAATCTTGAACCATATGGTATGTCTTTATTCAGGATACTTTGTTTTAGTTGATTTCTACAGTAACTAATTCTTTTGATTTGCAGTTTCTAGACAGCTCGACCTTTTGATCGATGCAGATATGGTAAATTTGCATTAGTATTAGCCGTTTAAGTTCATAAGTCATGAGAAATACTAATCGTCATTCATGTCCTTAGACTTCTGAAAACGTAGGATAAAGCACTGGCATTTATATTTTAGTGTATGAGAATGACGTTGAGTTGATGGTATTGATAATATTGCATGTGAAACTGTTATTTATTAAACCAAAAGTTCTGTGATTTTGATTAAACAGAAGAAAGCAAGTCCTCTTTTACAAGCGGATATCCTGCTCGTTGATTTGGAACTTCAACAATAATCGAGACATATCGCACATAACGAAGCGATCGTTAAATTCATTGCGAGGGGTTCATTATATTACATTTCAAATCATACACGATAAACTCATCGTTATGTGTATACAGTGTGTTGCACAAAAAAAAAAAAAAAAAAAAAAAAAAAACGAGAATGAAAAATTTCGCTGTTGTACCTTAAATTTCTTGAATAAAGGCTTGTTTGGAAGCTAGAAAGCAACATAATTTTATTGATATATATTTAATATTAACTATCCATGATCCGCTGGCTGCCAATGGCTTGACTTTGCAACAAAGTATCTACACTGGACTGTTTTAACACGCTAATTTAATGTTTGTCAAATAAAAACTACTTGCTGAACACTATTTCGCAGGGAGGCCTTCGAATTTCAACAAGGGAAAAGGCTCTCCTATATTTTTATATGTTTGTATTTGTTTCCAAACAATTGCATGTTTCTTTGAAACTTTAGACAGAACGTGGTATGTTTGTAATATCCGATAACGTAAATCGACGACGCATTATTGCTTTTCGGATTTAAGTCCAAAATGGAAATTTGCCTTTACAGAGCTCAAACACAAGAACGATTTGCCTTTCACACAAAACTCTCCCCATGCCATAATTTTTGTTCGGCCTTTCGGCATATAGGGCGAACTGGTCGTGCCCTTATGCCACCGTTCCGTCGTGTTTCAGAACAGTTGAAATGCCGTCTTATCAGCAAAAAAAGTCTTTTTCCAACTGTCGTTTAGATGGTCATGAGCCCCTCCATACGTCTTTGTTTGTGGACCTCTGTGAGCATAGGAGTCGCCTTGGGAAGACTTTTCGACTCGCGCAAGGTGTCTTGAAATTGTGGAGTGGATACCATTCGTTTCCAATTTTGTCGCCAAAGTTCTGGTAGGAATTGAACAATCTCGGCGACCGCGAAGCCTCAGTGGTAATCTTTCTTGGCCTTTTTTTTTTTTTAATAATTCATCCTCAGCTGATGAGAACCTGGCTTTATACTGTTTTATATCGAGAGTGAACGATCGAGTGAGAGTGGGTGACCGAGAGTTGTTTTTTTATGTTGCGAGCGCGAGTTGGGCCAGCCAGCCAAAAATCTACTCTTGATAATCGTGATCATTTCCTATTTTAGATCTAGATCGAAAAAAAATTCTCAGCAACACACTGTAACACAATTCGAGCACACGCGTTGAATTCAGGGGGTCATCTTTGTTTTAAAAGTCCTGGGTGTTACCAGTGCCAGCAAAGCAAAAGCTAAACAATCCTTCTCTACCAACAAGGATCTTGCTAGATTTTTCCGTTGATTAACATTGTTAGTAGTCGTTATCGTCAAGGTGATTGAAAAAATAGGTCTTGCGGGCAACAAATGAATCTACAACGCTTATGAAATTTTTAACTGTTAACAGTAGAGCGATCTATAAGCAAGTATGAATTTCTTATTGAACAGTTAGTTTGCTATTATGCTTCGCTCACAAATCTCACGTTTCTGTCTTTCCACATGCATAATTTCAATCTTTCAGTCGCTCTATGCTGAATATGGAACTGCAAACACGGAGGATTTTTAAAAATGATCGGGACCGAAACGTTGTGGGAGAAAAGTCTGGTAGTTCGTTTCGAACAACTGCGGAGATATGAGCATGCCGATAGTGTCGTTAGCTATACGATCTTGAAAGTGAGTGTGATTGACTAACTAATTGAATACTTGAACCTTCGGTTTCCATTTCCATCCTCGCAGCTTAAATCAATACCTACTGATTCACGGATGTTAAGCATATTGAGCATTTGTAATCTTGATCGTTCTTGGAAATAGAGATAAAACGTTAAATGATTTAATTGAAGAGCTTTCTGTAACATATTCTGTTCCAACAGATACACATATAGATACACCGAAAATCAATAATTTCAGAAGATATGAATGGTTCGCAGCAACGAAGCTGATAATAGGTTTTACTAGGCAATTTTCTTGTGGTTGAGATTATTCTTTGTGTAGTTTCTGCTCTACATGTGAAAGACTCCGTGGTGTATTTGTGGTGTATGCTTACTCATGGTCAAACGCGTTCCGCTTATCTGAGTATGAATGAGCGTTGTACCTAGGGCGATGACTCATATCAGTGGCAGATTAATGCATTTGAAATTTATCCACTCTCTTACGAGTATCCCGCACAAGAGTCATACAAAAATACTGGTAAAGAACAATCCCATCTAGTAAATGATTGTGATACAAAAGTAATGAAATTGATAAAAATAATCTGCGCCACGTTCAACAAATGCTCCCTCTTCTGAAATCAACATTGAGCTCACCTCTCAGACTACCATTCTATACAAGATTTCGACTATTATTGCATTCACGATTTTGTGCGCTACTTACTTCGACCGCTCCCTCACCTGCAATGTCAACTCACGACTTCTCGGCGCCTTCCTCTTTGCCCACTTGGCAGGCCAGTAAAGTTCGATCTACTTTTATCTCGTATTTTGAACAGCATGCCCACAAGCACATACCGTCTTCCTCAACCATACCATTTGAGGATCCAACCTTACTTTTTGCCAATTCTGGTATGAATCAGTTTAAAAATATTTTTTTGGGAACTGTTGATCCGAATTCTGAGTTTGGGAAGTTGAAGAGGGCCGCAAACAGTCAAAAGTGTATTCGAGCCGGTAAGCCATTGAGAGTGCGAGTGAAAAAAGAAAGAAGACAAGATGGAAGAATGGAAACGTGATGTTGATGACGTGTGATATGAAATGATTTTTTTAAACGCGCCATTTTCGGTCGACTAGTTGTCTATTTTCATATGCGATGTGTTTATCAGTTTCTGTTGATTTATTTTGTAGGAGGTAAACACAACGATTTGGAAGACGTTGGCAAAGACGTGTACCATCATACGTTCTTTGAAATGTTGGGTAATTGGTCTTTCGGGGACTACTTTAAGGTGTGAAAAGGCGAGATAAGCACTCGCATTCATGTCATTTGTATTTCTTATTTATCTCACGATTTTACTTATTTATTCCCTTTTTTTATTCTATTGCCTTGCCGCGTTGGGTTTATTTCTGTCAACACACCACACTACTATCTATGATCCACATACCGTCTGTTAAAATAATCATCAGAAAGAAGCTATAGGGATGGCGTGGGAATTACTTACGAAAGTATATGGCATTCCTAAAGATCGCTTATATGTGACGTATTTCGGGGGTGATGAAAAGTTAGGATTACAACCCGATCTTGAGGCCAAGCAACTGTGGCTTGATGCTGGTGTTGATGAGGCTAGGTTAGTTCCTGGCAATAGCAAAGATAACTTCTGGGGTAAGTATGTGTAACATATAGACATATGGAGCAATATTGGATATGAATTTGCAATTGTGAGTGAGGAATTATCATAATTACCAATGTGCCCATAGCACAGGATTAGGCTACCATTCATTTACATAATTCTATATTTTTTTGTAGAAATGGGTGAGACAGGTCCTTGTGGACCGTGTTCCGAGATTCACTACGATCGTATTGGTTATCGTAACGCTTCATCGCTAGTAAACAAGGATGATCCTAATGTCCTGGAAATTTGGAATCTCGTATTCATGCAGTTCAATCGTGAATCCGATGGCTCGCTGCGACCGTTGCCCTCAAAACACATCGACACAGGAATGGGTCTTGAACGTGTAGTATCTGTCCTCCAGAATGTTAGTTCTAATTATGATACGGATATATTCCGACCAATATTTTCTCGTATTCAAGAACTAACAAGTGTGAGACCGTACAGCGGGAAGGTTGGATCGGAGGATACAGATGGTATAGATATGGCGTATAGAGTTGTTGCAGATCATGTGAGGACGTTGACATTTGCTATATCAGATGGTGGAGTACCAAGTAACGAAGGTAGAGGTTATGTGTTGAGAAGAATACTGAGACGAGGAGCAAGATTCGCCAGGGATAAGTTTAAGAGACCACTTGGAACCTTTTTTTCTAGCTTGGTTGACACGGTAGTTGAAGAAATGGTGAGTGAGGATATTGAATTTTTATATGGATTATGGATGGGAGGACATCATTTCTAAAGAATTTGTTAACGTTCAATAGTAACGTGCAACGAATAATTATTTTCTCTTGTATTATTTAATATTATAGCCATCTTCAATCTTTACCATATTATATTTACCTTCTCTTAGGGAGATGCGTTCCCAGAAATCAGACTCAGTATTGCTGAAGTTAAAGAAATTCTTAATGAAGAAGAAGAATCTTTCTCTCGAACGCTGGATCGTGGAACAACGCTATTTAACCAATATCTTACGAAAGCCAAGAATGCCAATCTAACTAAACTTCCAGGAGCAGATGTATGGAGACTGTACGATACATATGGGTTTCCAGTAGACCTCACTCGTCTCATGGCTGAAGAATGTGGGTTAGGGGTTGATGAGGAAGAATTTTTGAAAGAACAGGAAAAGGCTAGGGAATTGAGTCGTGCTGCTAGAAGTTCTGGCGAAAACGGTGGGGAGAATGTTGTACTGGACGTACATGATATTGCGAAGATTGAACGAATGGAGAGCATTCCTGCTACTGATGATCAGTACAAATATTGTAGGTATACATCAATAGTGTTTTGATCCATTCGCTATTGTTTTGGCGACTCATTTCTGATTTATTTTTCTAGTGACTGGTAACATTTCGGCTATAGTCAAAGCATTATATCATGGACATTCTCTTTTTAATTCGAGCGATGATATATCTAGTGGAAGACGTTTTGGCGTCATTCTTGATCGAACAAACTTCTATGCCGAGGCTGGTGGACAGCAGTATGATACTGGGTCAATTATCATTGATGGACGGACTGAATTTGTGGTTGAAGATGTACAACAGTACGGGGCATATGTATTACATGTTGGCTATTTAAAATATGGAAATTTGAGTGCTGGAGATGAAATAATCGCTACTTATGATGAAGTAAGTATGGAACATAACAAGAACATGAAGCACTTTGCAGAATGAATTCCAAGATTATGTTCAAGCTGACATACTATCAATTTCCACGTCTGGCACTATTCTCGCTTTTAGTTGCGCCGTTGGCCTATACGAAATAATCATACGGGAACCCATATACTTAACTTTGCGCTGAGGGAAGTCCTCGGACTAGGAGTAGATCAAAAAGGGTCACTTGTTGCTCCCGAAAAATTTCGATTTGATTTCTCTCACAAGGTAATATTGAAAAAGAATATTCATGTACTCGTATTTACTCCAGGTAACTCGATCGTCATGTGCGGCGTCACCTCTAAATTAAACTCTCTATATTTTTTTCTCAAAACAGAAACCAGTTACTGACAAAGAACTTGCGAAAGTAGAACAAATCTCGAATGAACTTATAAAGAAAAATTACAAAGTATATACTAAAGATGTCCCACTTGCGGTAGCAAAATCGATTAACGGTCTTCGAGCTGTGTTTGGCGAAGTGTATCCAGATCCAGTTAGAGTTGTATCAATAGGAATAGATATAGAGGAAATGGTGAAGGATGTGTCGAATCCTAAGTGGAAAGAGATCTCTGTTGAACTGTGCGGTGGAACGTGAGTATTGGACGGGCGGAAAGTGCTTTAAGACTAGAGATCATGTGTATCAAATTAATAAAAATTTATCATCTCAGACATGTGGTGAAGACAACAGACATTAAGCAGCTTGTTATAATCGAGGAGAATGGTATCGCAAAGGGAATACGACGTATTGTTGCTGTAACTGGCGAAGATGCTTTACAGGTATTTTATTTAACACTTTGAACTATCATATCAATTGCATGATTACCATATTTAACCTCATTTTTTAGGCAGCTCGTCTTGCCGATGAGATCAAGGCAAAACTTGCTCACATCCAGACACTTTCTGGTACCGATCTTGACAACACCCTAAAAGAATTTACAAGAGAACTTGATGCATCGACCATATCTGCATTGGAAAAGGCAGAGTTACGAGAGGTTGTTGGAACTTTGCGAAAGAAGCTTGTTGAGGCTGATAAGGCGCAAAATGCCGCACAAACTAAAGAGGTGAGATGCAAAAAAAAAAAGTAATTAGTGTACGAATAAGATCATGAATTGGATATTAATCTTCGGGATACTAGGCCATTGATACGATAGTTAAGTACTTCCAAGAAAATCCGAACAGCCAATACGTCGTAAAGCAACTGCCCCTCGGCTTGAATACAAAGGTCAGCTGCACTCACCTGTTCATATCATTTGGTAACATTAGAACCGAGATTCCTTCCCCTGACTTTATCCCATCCACTTTTCTAAACGTGTGCAGGCACTTGCAGGAGCGATTACTTATGCGAAGCAGAGTCTCCCTACAAAGGCTCTTTATCTTTTTTCCGTAGATCGATCATCTGGTAGAGTGAGCCACAATAGTGTTGTGGGCAAAGACTTGGTTTCGCGCGGGTTGAGGGCAAGTGAGTGGGCGAAGGCAGTTACAGATGTTATCGGAGGAAAAGTGAGTTACATTGCTGAATACCGGCGAGTTTTGTAATACAAGTTAGTAGCGCACGATACTCATCATTCCTTTTACTCGCTTATAGTCCGGTGGCAAGGAAGTATCTGCACAAGGCAGTGGAACTAGCATAGAAAAAATTGATGAAGCTCTAAGAGTTGCTCAACAGTTTGCCGAGATGAAATTGAATGAAAAATAATCGTTGTTGTCTCCAATAATTTTCTCGAATGATTGACAATTGTTAACTGGTTTTTATTATATGAATGATGCCATTATCATATTAAGTACGTATTCAAACCCTAAGAGCGTTAATACTAAGGGAGTTGGCCGCAGTTGGCGATGATTATGGTTGCACCGTTAGCTGGTTTTCCACTATCAGTGCCATACTCGCCTATTCGTTCGACAACATTCATCCCTAAATCATTCAAGTTATAATATGTAAGATAGGGTGTTTTCCATACAAGTCAGATAAATATCAAGCATTAGATACAGATTGATCCATATCGTAGATACTGTTTAACATCTATTTCTTCCTCTTCTACGCTAAGTCCTGGCCCAAATCCTTTTTTCGTTACTGACCTTCAACAACATGTCCAAACACTACGTGGGCACCATCAAGCCAACTTGTCTGTTTAAGACAAATAAAGAATTGAGAACCATTCGTATTCTTTCCGGCATTCGCCATACTTAACACACCAGGACCAGTATGTTTCAAAATAAAGTTTTCATCTTCGAATTTATTGCCATAAATTGATTTGCCTCCGGTACCATTACCCGCCGTAAAGTCACCCCCTTGAATCATGAAGTCTTTAATGACACGATGGAAAGAAGAGCCTTTGTATCCTTCCCCAGGTTCCCTAGTACATAGGACACGGAAATTCTCGGCTGAGTAGAAGTGGAGATTGTGAACAGGTTAGGATGTAGAATAAAGCTTTGTGTTTTGAGCAATAGGCAAGTGCTAGGATATGCGCTGGATAGTAAAACCGATGAGTACCTGTTCGCGGACAAACATCAGCGCGTAGCTCGAGTACAATCCTCTGAAGGATTCATTCCAGTTGATCGTATGTTAGTAACCAATAAAATGGTATTTAACACAATGAATATCATCAATATCAATATTATTTAGACATCACTCTACTTCATCTTTCGCCTCCTATTGAATGAACAAGTTTCAGCTATAAACGTTCTATGACTTACTCCTTGGTCCAAAACGTTATCTCTCTTCTTGATTTGAACGTCCAAAAACACACGTGGGTTCGGCATTTTGGATTTGTTATCAAAAGTCACAATGGATAGGGAAGTCCAGAGGGAGTCCTTGCTATCGTCTGTGGTTATTTATATCTATCGATCCAACCGATAATCATGTAGGAGTATGTGTAACATTAGACACAACCATAAAGCCAAATTAGGATTAGTTACGCTCCCTTTTCGGTGTCTGTCGGGTATGGGTCCTTGGTATTGATCCCACATGATTGAAGGTTTGTCACCCAATGAAGTAATACATTATAATCACACCTGTTTCTGGGAAACTGATACCGTAATACAAGTGAAACTCGTTAAGACGACGAAACCACGCTAAGCCGAAATTGCATTAAGCCGAACTTTTTCTGGTTTACCAAATTTTTATTATAGCGTAAGCCGAAATTTATTAGTAATTTACGTTAAAAGATAAGCCGAAAGTTTTCGAACAACCAATTTTATCATTTACCCCTGGATCACCAATCTTACATATTAATATAGAAATAATCATGTATCCGTAAAATTTTGATGGCGATGCTGGGAAAAATCGATATACCTTTGTGAATAAAAGTCCCTCGCGATAAAAAAAAAATCGCTTATCCAAGAATCCATTTCTCATAAATCAGCTCTCGAGCATGTCAATTCTTTGCTTTTATATGTTAGTCAAGATTGTGACAACGTTGATATTACTTTCTTATCTAACTAAAGAGAATAACTGAGACTAAACATCAGCAGCAAACAAGTATTCTTTCGTTTTACCATTAATTAACAAAGTTTATGCTGTTGAATTGTAAGTCGAAAATTTGTGCAAATGTATATATATATTCGGCTTAGTGCGAAATTTGGTTAAGCGAAAATCTGGATAAGTCGAATAAATTGGCTCGAGTTTCACTTATAATTATAATGCGGTTTGCAAATCTGAGTTTGACTTGTGTATATCGCCTGCACAATAGATAGCTTTTCAACTTTCCATCATTTTCAATGACACTACCTGTCGTTTTTGTTTACTCCGGCAATAATCATTTGGCTGTATGAATACTGTTTGAGGCTTATGACTGAAGTCAGGTGATAACCAACCACATATATTTAATAATAAACACACTTAGCGTTATGAACTCGAGAAGTGCTTGTTCATACAAAATACGCTAAACCGCTTGAGTATTATATTATGCTCACGTAGTGGACGGCCTACGGAATTCGATATGCAGTTATTGACCATCTAAGAAAAATGACCGCACTTCGGAATAAGTATAATCTCATGGTCAGCGTAAGAATAATTACAATAATATAATTTATCGAAACGAATATTGATAATTCCGAATGGATCCCAGAACAGTTATTATTGGCAGGGTTAATGCATCTCTTAATTAATTGCAGTTTATCATCCAATCCCGAATCCTCAAAGAAATTTTTATTTCAAACGATATAAATACCGTACGACAACAGTCCGTGACAAGGTTTAGAGAGAGTATTTTCTGTAACACAAAAGTACCTTATCGATTCTCTATTTCATTCTTACCATACCATAATACTTCTGCACAAGAATGTCATCATATATGGATTCACTAGTTACCGATCTTGAAAATGTGAATATTGACCAGACTCTTTCACGATGCGACATTATTGACAAATTAACGAAGTACGCGGGACCTGAAGGTCAACAGCAGTTTAAATCGATCTCTTATTCGGAATTTACAAACATCAAACGCATTGAGCAATATACAAGCCATACTATCTACTATGCTAGATATGGACACAGATTCGTAATCTTATCTCTTCTCGGAACCAAAGATAAATCCTTAAATGATTTTATCGTAGAGCTTTCCAAAAAGTACTCAATTCCGACGCATGAATACGAAGAACTATTGGATGACAGACAATTCAAAAGATATAAGAGGTGGCTCAGAGTGCGTAATATATTAATGCTGGGTTTTACGAAGTCTGAAAATCAATACTTTCTTGTGGCCGAGAGGAGTTTTTATCATTATTATTCCTTGTATGGATTTTGTTCTGCATGTGGAAAACTCAGGTGCAGTCCAGTATGGTGTATCTGCGGGCATAAAGAGTTATCAAATCATTGGACTAGTGGCAACGATAAATTAGATAAGTTTATTAGAAAGTCACAAGCAGAGACCGACACGGCCAATGACTCGTATTTGGAATGGATTCCATTTGACTGGCTTTTCCGTTATGATTTTAAGGATGTGGATATTTTTTCTTTTGCAGACAAAAATCCGTCAACTGATAAAATCGACGTTCAACAAAATGCATTAGTATTATTTCCGCAAAGACTTTATACTGACAGAAGTGTGACTGTCACTCCGCTCGAGATCTCGAATGAGACATCCGATTTATATTATCAAAAGGTAAGACTTTTAGTGGAATCAGTCAAATTATTACAATTGTGAGCACAAGTTGACAATAACAACATGAATGTAATTTTTTTTTAGTTATGTGAAGAGAATCCTGACATACTTGTCAAGGACACTTGGATTACTGTTGGATTTACATATTATCCAGTTTGGCAGAAGTATGCTTTAGTAAAGCTTCAATATACTTGGGATGTGTCTAAACTTGGATTATGTTTGGCTTGTGCCAATGAGCTTGATCCATCAACAGATGTATTCTGCACTACTTGTAAACAACCAAGGCCAGTGTATTGGACTACTGGCAACAAATCTTTGGACAAATTTATCATGGAGTCATGGGAAAAAATGGCACATCAAACTGATAGTTATTTACAGTGGATACCATATGGTCAGCTATCTAATATAAAGACATCACCATCATTGGAACATGGTTGCTCTCATGCAGCAAATTGGACTGTATGCACAACTGCTGGACAAATGACAAGAGGAGTTATGCTTAAAAAAGTAGTTGATGGATCCAATGCTCAATTGTTTGATTTCTATAAAGTAAGTAGTGATTTACACATTAATAACAGCAATATAAAATATTATTTGTTAAAGTATTAATGGATTATTTATAATTATTTAGCTACTCAAAGATTATCCAAACTTATTAAGTCCAGATAATATTTGGATTATTGGCTTTACTCAAGAACCATCAAGTGCAGACTACTTTTTGGTATTTTATACCTTACATGCATCTATAGTCACATTTGCACAAGTTGCAAAACTGACTCTTGGTGAAGATACATTTGGTTGGATAGATTATGATAACTTTGATGAGATTCATGAATTAGGAGCTGGTGGTTATGGAATTGTATTTCAAGCCAGATGGAGAAACCCTTTTAAACCTCATTCAGACTCCACACCAACTTATGTTGTTCTAAAGGGTCTAAAAAATTTCAGGCAAATGATAAATGCATTTTTTAATGAGGTAATACTGTTATATTAATGTGTTGATACATTGGCAATCAAGTTGAGATCTAATATATACTTCCTTAAACAGATTAAACAACATGTTAAATCAAGAGGTGTTAATTTTCTCCCAATTTATGGAATCACACAACAGCCAGAAACTGGAGAATATATGATGGTCATACAATATGCTGAAGGTGGTGATCTTATATCATATTTAAACAAGAATATCAACCATTTGACTTGGAAAATGAAAGTGGATTTTTTGATACATATTTTAGCAAATCTGAAAGAAATTCATCGTATGGGATTGATACATTGTGACCTCCATGCAGGCAATATACTCTTTCATCAACATGTAGTTGAACTGAACAAGAACAGTATTCAACCTGCCTATGTAATGAATAAGTTTACATCATTTATATGTGATCTTGGTCTTACCAGACGAGTAGATTTATCTGGTGAACTTTCATCAACTGTTTATGGTGTTCTTCCATATGTTGCACCAGAGGTCTTTCATACTCGCAAGTTTACTCAGAAGTCAGATATTTATGCTATTGGCATTTTGATGCATCAAATGGCTACTGGTGAGCCACCTTTCAGAGATAAGCCACAAGATTTTATTTTGGTGAAAGAAATTTGCAATGGATTACGACCAAGAATGCCTTCTTCAGCACCAGAATTATATAAAGTGTGTGCTGCTGAATGTTGTGATGCAGATCCTGACAAACGTCCTACTGCTGATCAAGTGCACTTGTCTCTGTATAGTCTTGCTGAAGCCATTGACAAAGATGGGTTTGGTGATAAGGTTTATAATCCTCACCATATTGATTATTTATCTCGTAATGAGAAGGAAATCAAATATACTAGCAAGGTATTGCCACATGGGGATTTTCCTGAACCAAGTAATAGTTGTGAGATTGAATTTGACATGACTACAGGTATGAAGCTTCCATACAATATATGATGAATGTAATGTACAGCAGAACAGGAATATTGACCATCATACATCATGCATACTAATACTTGTTAAATTATTTGATTTTAGGCGAGTTTAATTATGGTATGCTTTTGCTTCCCTATTATATCACTGGCTTTAATATCAGGATATTATTCAATATTTACTAATATTTTGTTTCATATTCATAGAATCCAGACAACTTGATCTCATCATAGATGATGAATTAGAGTCTTTTGGTATGTCTCTGCTACATTCAGTTGTCTTTTATCTCTTGATAATATAGCAGTTTTATCTCATTCTAGTTTCCCCTTCTACCTTCCCTAGATTTTGAGCAAAATTGACATTGTTAATTGTGTGATTTATCAACAGACAGAGTTCTGTGAAGACTTGTTATTATGTTATGGTCAATATTATTGAGGGAAAGAATAGCAGTGATAATTGACATTTTCAACTAACATATTAATATGCTTGCAATCTTTCCTCCTTCCAGGTATAGTTAGTATTAGTAGCTTAGCAAACAAGCATGTTATGACTACCAGTACAGCGCAATTCACATTTCACTGTCGATCACCTTACACAATCGCATGACATATTAGGAACTAGATCTTTACAAACCAGACATTGTTACGATTAAATTTGTTCATGGCTTTTTGTTATTGACGCAAAGCAACTCACCAATAAAATGTCGTATCAATAACATCGTTTCTTAAAATCTGCATCATAAACGTGATGTGTCATGCGCATGGCTTTTTGTTATTATTAACGTGAGTATATACCTTATTTGGTTTAATTAATCTCATTGTCTACTTTTTAATAATAACTAATAGTCTCCCGAAATGAATATGCTCTCTCTTTTTTTTGAAGGTATGAATTAAGTTATGTCAAGCGTTATAGTAAACAAAGAAGGTGATTATGATTGATCTAAATCAAATTTAGCAGAAGAAAAGAAGAGAAACGGATTCGGTGATAACAGAGAGGATTCGACGTTGCATTGGGGTTCGAATACGGGAGGATGTACGGAGGGCTCTCGTAAACCGCGGGATACCCGCATACATAAGATGCCGGTGAGAATCTCACTAAGTATTGTAGAATTGTCAGTTACGCTGCCACTAAGTATAAATCAGAGAATTGAAAGCGTATCGTGGCCACAGTTTGCAAGTGGTGAATAGGATATGGTTCCTATTACATTGTGTTCTCCGGCTTTTGCGGTGAATAGTATACATTGATCAGTGAAACGAAAGCGCATCGTGGCCACAGCTTATGCTGTGAACGTTCGACTCTGATCTTGACTATTATCATTATTATCATTTTTATTATTTGATATTAGTCGGTGTAACTGCCAATGTAAACGTTGGCTGTATAAGATACATATAGAATATGAAAAATGGAACTCAGAATAACAATAAGATGAAAAAAAAAAAATCGAACATCACACAACTTAATTAATTTATTTTTATAATAGGTCCCAACTTTACATTCCTTGGTCAGCTCTGTTATCACTGAAATCCAAAAGGAGGCGTACTAGAGGTCTTCAACACTGGAAAAATTATGGCAACTGATATCGAATGTACACATGACTGTCCCAGCAGTACCGTTTGCCACCAGTGAGACTTTTATGCAATTTTTATTAGTTAACTAGTGGGTAGCACAGGAGAAGGGGGAGCTGTACAAGAATCTTAATAAAGCAAAGTTGCATAAAAGATGTTCTTTTTTCAAATCAGGGTAGTCATTGTAAAAATTGTGATTGATGATAATAATTTTAATTATCAATCTTATGATAATGTTTCTATGTTCAACATTTTATGTCATGGAAAACTTTGATAGAGTGGACATATCACAAATGGTTTATTATATATCAAGAGTTTGAATTGGAAGTAAAATTTAGTACATGATATAGTAGGGAAATTTTATTATTGTGGAAATCTTTGATTACTTCCTGATCTACATGAATTTCATTCTCTTCAAATGCAGACAAATCAAGTTTTTCCCAGCATGTTGCACAGCTGAAGGCAACATAAGCTTGCCCACATGCAAACATTGTCCCATCAATTGATAAGGATACATGGGGTAGGGTTAGCCCTTGTGTCTTATGTACAGTGAGGGCAAATTGGGTGCGAGAACATGGTGCACCATTAATTAAAAATAAATTGGTCACATGTTGGATAGAAGTCACAGTAAGACCACTTGAAGTAGGAAATGTCACTTCAATAGTGTTATTAGCATAAGTTATGTCTGTGACAACCCCAATAGTACCATTAGCAAGGCCACTAACAAAGAATGTATTATTTAAGAACATGACCTGAGCTCCAATACAAAGAGTCAAATCTATTGGAAGATTTGTATGATGACAGAAAAGAGACTCATAATCTCCTGTTTCAAGTTGTCTCTCATTCATGTAATCTTCAGCAGAGAAATATATTGGTGTGGGATATTTTTCATCTCTAGGTAAAGCATTGCATATAGATGAATTAATGTTATATGCAAGGTGTTTATAGCCCACAAGATGAGTGGTATCAATTGCATTAATGGCTGTCTTGGGTGAAGTAAGTTTTTGTTGAATGAGAGTTTGAGAAAATTCAGACAGTTGACCAGTACATAATTCTTGTAGCAATTGATAAAACTGAATGTCTTGACCTTGGCAATGTGGAGTAGTAAGAAATAAAGGAAAAAATTCTCTCCAGATTGCAGCTTTAAATACTGGTGTGCCACTTACTGGAGGTAATTGGGCTAAGTCACCTAGAAGAAGAACAGGTACTCCACCAAATGGAATAGAACTTGACCTGATTTGTGAAAAAATAGTACTGATATACTGGAGCAATTCAGCTAACACCATTGATACTTCATCAATGATGATACAAGGTCAACCCCGATAATCCGAAGACATCAGTGCAGTAGTTATTCTTCGTATTATCAGGGTTTTCGAATTGGCGGGGTTACTCTATAAACTGAAGGTTATATTTGGGAAGAACATATGTGCGGATAAACAGGGCAAGTGCTCAAGCTGCTAGATAATAATGTTGTAAACACTACTTGTACTCTTTATTCGCTTGTGAAATAACTGCTAATTTTAGATTGAACCTTGGATTTGAAGATTGATTTATGTATATTTTTTTTACATTGATT